AATTCATTCTGTCTTCTCACAACGATCAATAACATGCAAATTTAATTTAAAGGGACAGATGCGCCATTTTGGGGGGTTCATTTTAGTCTTGAAAATATGTAAATAGTCTTCAGAAGTACTAGAAATGTACGAAATTCGCATAATTCTTTTAAAAAGACTTCAAACTAAGAATTTTTCTCAATATCTCTATAAGTATGTTCATAGAATATCTTAAAATGATGAGTCGTCATTTTAATGGATAATTCTGGACACGCATGGATTTGAAGGCTCAAATTTCGACGGTAAGCTGTGAATACTATTACTAATTGGCTTATTTAAGAAATTCCCGTTTCTGAGACTAAAGTATGATTGGTCAAAAGGAATGGCGCATCTGTCCCTTTAAAATTAAACTTAAAGTATCGTACTAAAGAACTCGCCAAGTGTCTTTGTCTTTAAAGGGATTGTAAAGAGGTTTTCTAAATTTTTTTATGTGTATCGGGGACACTGAAAGCAAAGGTTTCGACATTCCAATTTCGATCAGACAACTGTGGTTCCTGCGTTTAATAACGTCACTGCTCGCAAAATATGCTTAAGGTCATAAGGCCCTTAGTGACGTCATCACATTTTTTTCTCGTGTGGAATTGCAAGAACCAGATTTCTGATCGTCAATAGGAATGGTTCAAATTGATATTATCAGCGTCCTGTTTACAATCCTTTTGAGCTATTGTTCATGTTAGTAATAACATCATCGTAACATTTATATAGTATGCAGCTTTAGCTCTTAACTAAAACTATTACAATAAAAAAAACAGTATTATAAGAAACACCAAAAATATTTCACAACTGGCTTACAAAATAAATGGGATTTTATCAGGAAATTACAGGAAGAATCTCCATTAACTATTTACTACAACCGAGCTTCCACTTAACTAAAGCAGATTTAATTTGACAAAGCACTTAACATCAGATATTAGAAAGGAATTGATAGGACTTATAGACGATACAATTCACATCAAATGATGGTTAATGATATGAGGATAGATCTGTAATTAATTTTGATCGTGTGTGACATATTCACTCACTTACCATCAGTTAGCCTGAATAAGACGTTAATTTTATCCTGAGTAAGGGAAATCATATTGGACTGAAGACAATCTACCCAAGTTGTCGAACTATTCAGTTCAATACATTTAAGGTGCCTTTGCCTCTATTAATTTTGTCGGTTGATGTTTTATGTTAACACTTTGCCTTTGAGTTCGGTTAATAACCTCAGCTGTAGTTGTGGTCACAGAACCACTCTGATTCGTCTGATACTTACACTTGAGAGGAAAGATAACAGTTACATTGTCTAGACATATATAATTTAATATGGGTCATTTTACACAAGCAATTACATTAAAGACATTAGAGATTACAAATATGTTATTCTTTAATGTTTTAACATCCCAGAGATATCTAACCAATAAAAACCTTAGTAATTTTCTGGTCCGTGGTAGACTCGATCCCATTGAATCCAATAATACTTGACCCCCTTCTCTATTTTCTAGCTCATTAAGTATAATATATTCTAATCCTTATATATAGATGTTTATCTTTTCAGAACCTATTCATACTCTCTTCTTTTAGAACTGGTAACAAGAAAACTTTCATATTATAGATTTTTGTTTATTGTAGATTACTCGTGGTTGTTTTTTTAACTTAATACTAACTATGCTAACTTCACCTTATCTTGTATTGAACATTTATCTCTTTATTTGTGACCTTGGCCAGTGCTTTACATAGAAGTTTTTAGGAACTTCTTCACTCTTAACACTAAATCCCAGTCTTAAGTTTATAAAATTCCCAGGATATTGTATTATATATTATTTGTATTGAACACAGTTGACTACAGAACACCTAATCAAATACACATCTAAATCAATGGTCGTCGGCTGAATTTGTAGTTTGTAGAGATAAGTTGCACCCCTTTGCCACAAAACTTCTCTTCCTCGAGAATGTATTTGATTTATAAACAATATAGATAATGTTAGGCAACTCGAGTGGACACTGTCGAGTGCAAGTTTGAGCGATGCCATTTGTCTTACATTTTGTATTATTTATTAGCCTAGATTTTGGTTAAATGGGACCTAGCTCGTTGTCTATGTCATCACTGCCACCCTCCAATCGCTAAACTGACTAATTCACTTTTTGGTCAGACTTGGGATTTTTTCGGTTTTGAGTTCCACCCCATGATTATACTAGGGCAAGTCTGTAAAGATGGATACTTGAATCGCAATGGTATATCCAAGCACATCAGTTGACTACGACCTTTCCATTGACTATGCTTAGCGTTATCCGAGAAATATGATAGGAAGATGTTTTACGTTAACCCGGCACATAATTAGATAGCTTTTAAAGAAGAGATTCAAATTTGCATAGTCTTACAAATAGTAAGTATAGCTCACTGGTTGATGAACTAGTCGAGTCTTAAGTGTGTGCGAGTTGCACCCCTTGTTTCATTTTTCATTTTTATACACCCACATGAAATGGGGGCGTATATTGCTGTCACCTATGTCCGTCCGTCCGTCTGTCTGTCGGCCCGTCGGTCCGCCCGTCCGTCCACAATTGCTCGTAAACACTCTACACAGACGAAACTTGGTATGGTTGTTTGTAATCACTTAAGGATGAACCCTATTGAAAATCAAAAAATCGAAAATTGTTTAGTATGAGTTATTGTTCTTGAATTGCTCGTAAACACTCTAGAAGGTGCAATTCATGACGGATTTTGATGAAACTTGGAGTGTGTGTTTGTTATCACTCAAGGATGAACCCTATTTAAAATCAGAAAAATCGAAAAATAATTAGTACGAGTTATTGCCCTTGTTCTTGAAAACGCGTTCAATTTTTAGCTCGTAAACACTCTAGAAGGCACAATTCTTGACGGATTTAACGAAACTTGGCTTGAGTGATTGTTATCACCCAAGGATAAAGCCTATTGAAAATCAGAAAAATTTATTATGAGTTATTGCCCTTGCTCATGAAAACTCGTTCAATTTGTAGCTCATAAAAACTCTAGAAGGCATGATTCTTGCCGGATTTTGACAAAACTTTGTTTTATTATTCAGTACCGCGCTGAAGATTGAATATTTGTCTTCTAAAGTTTCCATGAGCTAAAGATTGAACACGTTTTCAAGAACCAGGGCAATAACTCATACTCAATATTATTCAGTATCGTCCTAAAGAGTTCAAAAGAAGTGTATGACTGAAGGTTGAATATTTCATACTGGTGATTGTTACTGTACTGCTAAATATTTTCATTCAAAATCAAAGCTGTCAGTGGGCTTATATTACCTTGCCTAACAAGCTATCTTTATCTATTGCTCCAAGCAAATGAGTCATTGTCGGTTTAAAGTCAGATAAAACACGACAGAGGGGTTTTACGATATCTAAAACAAAACAAAACAAAACAATTATGTAGGGAAGGCATCTGACCCCTTCAGTGGAATTCGAACCGAACGTCACCTTTTACAAAAGTAAGTTTAGTTCGGGGATTCTATTACGTCATAACCACTTCCGTTCTCATATGAGACACCAAAGCCAAATTTTTATAAAGAAACAAAGTTAAAATCAATACGGTTATATTAAACAATATATAACTTATTCACACCTCTTTTTATAACAAACCTCCGTAATAAACACACTTTACATTAATTCGTACGTGAGATTCTCGTAAATTACCGATGCTAAGATTCGTTTAAAATTTTGTTTATCGCATCTGCTTACAAGACGCTATATTACTAATATGTTTAAATAATATTCATAACAATCTTATTTTAGATCCAATACAGCATTGAAGTTAGCCAACCCCCACAAAATCATTTTTGTTGGAAGTGATGAACCGCTCCCGTTTATAGTAAAAGTTGTACTATTGTTTCCGCTTACCTGTTCTTGTTTGCGCTTGTCGGACCCAATCCTATTGCTGCGGTAATGATGACAGTAGGCCTGATGAGGCCTCGATGCAATAAAAAGCAACAACTATTGCTAGTATTAGTTGTGAAGGCCCTAATAGGCGTTTCTCAAAGGCCACATATAACAGCTAGTAGCAGTGGAGGGACCTGTTTAAAAAGACTCTAGAAAAGCAACAGCTAATCCAACTGTTGTGCTAGTTTGGTGCGGAGCGTATTTCAAGGGCTATGTATTTCAGCTAGTAGCATTTAAAGAGCCAATATATATATTTCAAATATCCAAAATACTGACCAGGCGAGGGGTCAAAAGCTGGTCAGTGTACGCCTACGTGAAGGTCGATATAACATCTTTAAGATATGAAGTAAACTGGATCAACATGCAATTGCAAAAAATTGTATGGAGTGACAGAGATTTCTTTTTTCTTTTTTCATGTATGCTTCCAAACGCACTTCAATTATGTAGAAGGTAAGGATACATTCTCGCGCATTATATTCGCAATTATATGGTATCAAACAAACATAAACGGTAATTTGACAAATTTCACTAAGTGTTAATATACCACATCCGAATCTAAGCTATCACGTCCGAGAAACGGTGAGCCAGATTTGTTATCTAAATATCTCAGTTTAATGAGGGTTGTGCCCATGGCCAAAAAATAATACACAAGCCAAAAATACCACTTGGAGGTGGATCGGTTACAAAATTAGACACCTGTTAAATCAGACCTACAGGTGATTATAAATAAGAGTTATCTCCCTGCACTCACAGAGACTGCGAGACTTCCGCCATTTTGGTTGGACTAAAAGGAAAACATTGGAATAATTTGACAATTTGTTCTGTTATTTTTAAGGCCAGAGCTCTGGCTTTAATCGTGATGCATGCCTCTTTCAAGCCCCACCAAGATTACCCGAACTGAAAACTCAAAACACGACGAAATTAGAGAAAGTAAACGGAAAAGGAACGACGAAAATAATCCCTCTCCTCCATTGAAAAGGGCACGAGATTTGGAAGACTGCGAAGAAAGCATGATGGATTCTCAAAGAAAACCCAACTTTTCTGCACTTACAACACCTAACAATGGAATTACGAGACATTCATCACCGCTTGCAAATAATAAACCAGGGGCTGCTAAGAAGCTGGTTATCAAAAATTTTAAAGGTGATTTATTTACGATTGAGTTCTCCAATTCTCTTTTTTTTCTTTTATTCATCCTTCACACACTGGCACCAGTCCAGTAAATTGACCTGATAATTTTTTGTATTTGAAGTATGATGGCCTTTTTCATTTCTGTCAGTTCAAGAGCTCTACTACCTAAACAAAGTGGAAGTCTGTTTTCTGAAATTTATATAATGTCAAATTACATATGATCTAATGCAATGATAAATCAAAATGCAGCATTGATAGTAATTTTAGACCATCAGAACTCTGTTAGATCCTTGCAACACATATTCAAATGATAATCAATGGTGAAAGTGTTACTAATTAGGCAAGATATCTACCAATACAATGGAATTGCAAAGTAATTAATGACAGCAAGACAGTAACAATCTGATCTCAATTTTTTGATAAACATCTTAGAAAGATTTTGCCTATATGCACATTGAAAAAATTAACAGACATGTCTTGAAAGACTGTCTACTTGAATCATAATTGAATGAACATAACTCCATCATCTAGTACAAGTAGGCCATAATGTTTTCTTTTTTTTTTGCTTTTTAGAAAAACCCAAGATGCCTGATAATTTTCAACAAGAAACATGGAGAAAGCTGTGTGAAGCCGTGGAAGCTATCCATAAGAGTTGTTCCATTCGATATAGTTTAGAAGAATTGTATCAGGCTGTAGAAAATATGTGTTCATATAAGATGTCTGCAAACTTGTATGATCAACTGAAAGTTGTTTGTGAATCACATGTTCAAAGCTGTTTGGAACAGTTTAAAGCATATCCTTTTTTAACGTTATTATTTTGAGAATATTTTTGATGTATTTTATTCAGAATCCGTGAAAACTGATAGTACCTTAGTCCTTCCCTTCTGACTCAAAGTTTGTCCAAAGTGTTCAGATGCAAGCCCTTTGTAAAATTGCACATTGGCATATGCATTTCCGACTCAAATGCAAATTTGTATGTTTGAAATTAAAATCCTTTCAAATTGAATTTTCTTAACAGTGATACTGATAATTCAGATTATGAACAGTTTTTGAAGAAACTAGATTATTGTTGGCAAGCCCACTGTAGACAAATGGTAAGTCCCAGCAATCTTTTTTGTCAGAATATTATAGTGATAATCCTGTAAACATTTGATAATCGTAAGAAGCATCAGGGTACAAATTATTTTTTTTTATTTGCATAGTAGTTTTTTGTTCTATAGGTGGAAATTGCATAGCAGTTTAACATTTTTTGGGAGCAATTTCTCCTGTGATAGTTGAAATTGTATAGCACTTTTTAAACGATTAATGAATTAACTTTAATAATTGTTACCAAAGAAGTGAACTGGTACCTTAAACCCCAAATGAATTTACGCTGGAGTAAGTCTGAAAAATCTGTCACAAATTCTACTACCTCATATGTTCTGGACTACAAAATCATGTGAGATGCGCATGCGTCCTTGTATGTCATTTTCCGCATCGTATCTTTTAGTGTCGATGTAGTTTTTTCTGTGTTCCACAGAAATAACGTTTTTTATAAGTTTCTAAACTTATCGATTAGATCTTTTAGCTCTCTAAAGTTTTTTCCTAACTTGTGACTGTTATTTAGATCTTTCAGCGTAGATAATTGTCCCAATTATCGCTGATTTTAACTTTTTTATGTGAATTCTTCATGAGTATTTGGGTCAGAGTTTTTTCAATATGGCCGACTCTAACTGGAAGTCAAAGGTTGAGAGAATGGAAGAAGGTGATATTCTCTATGAAGAAGATGATATCCAATCACCTCCGGTGACATCTCCCTTACCTGTTCCAGGTTCTCAAGCTTCTTCCCTTGCTACAGCTGCTCTACCGGTTGACTTCCTAATGTCATTACAGGACACAATGAACAATATGTCTCAGTCCATTGCCTCAATGGGGACTGCCTGGCAGAATATGGGTAAAATGTCTTCGAATAAAGATTCTAATTTATCCTCCTTACAGGCCTATACCATTCCTAAAAGGAAGAGATCTCGATCTAGATCCCTTATTAGAAGTCATTCTCTTTCGCATAAGAGAAAGAAGACCGGACATCATACTATCAGTGATAGTGATACTGACTCCATGTCCAGCTCATCCAAGTGTTCAATTGGCAACCTTTCAAAGGATGTAGATGATTTTTTTCAACAAACAACTGTTGCCCCTACTACTATTGATGAAAATTTTGATACAACCTTACAAGAAATCTATGATGATTTCAATACAACAGAGGTCACTGGATCTGAGGTTGCAGAGAAACTAGCAAACATTATCAATAAGAGGTTCAGTGATAAACTCAGTGATGATGTCCTTAAGCGAACATTAGACAAATATCAAAGGCCTAAGAATTGCTCTGGTCTCCAAGTACCAACTGTTAACTTTGACATTTGGGCAAAACTAACAGCTCCAGTTAAAACACAAGATTTGAGAATGGCTAATATTCAGAAGACTATGTCTAAAGCATCATGTGCCATTGCGATATGTGCTAATGATCTACTTAATTTGAAATCAGTAGATGATGCCTCAGCAATAGCTCGGAAGCTTATTGATGCTGTTGCCTTGATGGTCCACAAGTTGGCACAGACACAGAAATATTAAGCAGTAATACTGTTATTCGCTCAAAAGTGATTCTACCTCACGTAGGCCTTCATGTTCACTTTTTATAATACTTCTTCATTAATGGGTTTCTTATTCTGAAGTGTTGAAATACTTGCATATATATCATATTTATTTCTGTGACATTGAGTCGATATTTTTAAGGTCGCACATGTATAATTCTCGATTGAAAAAGTCCAAACCAGTCCTCAGGTTTGCCATCTTTCTTACGGAAATGGATATTTATAATAATTTGTTACAAATAGAAGTGTATTTCGATCGTTAAATGATAAAGCATGAGTTTTTTCCACCACTTAAGCCATATCCATGCTGTTCTACTCCCGAAGGTTCTGCCATCCACTTCAGTATTATGTTCCTTATTTAGCACAATCTTTGACTATGATTTTATTTATAGTAACAATCATGTCCCCGTTTCTCAGTCCTCCAGAAATTTAATCAACCAAATGTGTGACAAATTAATGGTATCTGATTGTTTTAGACACCATATGAATGATAGTTTCATTTACTAACAGAATATATTATGTATCGCAAAAAAAAAAAACTGCTCTACTGACGAAAATTACATTCCATATTGCTGAAAATTACAAAGTGCGATGCGATACCACTTATTTTGTTCCCTGTGATTGTTTTCTTTTAAATTAAGAGGAAACCAGATATTATAACCCAACACTTATAAATATAAACATTTGATATGGTCAATTTGATGTTTTTGATTTCAGGGGTACATATCCATCAAATAACTATCATATACTTCACTGGCTTTCTATTCCCAGAATTTTTTACTATTTAATGAAATATAGATATAGAATAGATGAAAACTTATATTTTCCAGATCATGATCAGAAGTATATTTTTGTTCCTAGACAGGACATTTGTATTACAGAATTCTACAATTTTGTCTATATGGTAGGTATCAATGTATATAAATATATTTATTATATATAGTTATTTTTATAACGGTCAATTTTTAAAGTTCCATCCATTTTGTCTATGCAGTCAAGCAGATCTATAATAATGTGATGCACTTTTCCAGTTTCATAATCTTTATTTAAATTTTTTACAGAGCACTATGTTCACTAAACACTTCTTTATTTTTCTTTTTTATGATTTGTTTGTCATCATTCCCATGTCCAGATTAAAATTTGTTAATATAGGGATATGGGATTAGATTTATTTCGAGCCAATGTCATCAGTGATAAAGTTGTAGAAGGTAAAGCTGTTGATGGATTGTTAAAGTTAATAGAAAGAGAAAGAAATGGAGAAGCTGTTAATCGACAATTGTTAAAAAGTTTACTACGCATGTTGTCTGATTTACAGGTAGGATCATAATGGGAAACGTTGGTCAATTTCGAATGGAGTTTCAAAATATCTTATGTTGATCTTTTTCTTAAAAGACGTATCTTAGGTTTTTTCAAGATTCATGACGAGGATCAGTAGAAAGACAAGTTAGGGTTTGATTCTCAAAAATGAACAGGCCCAGGATTGAAACAAATACTTCATTAAGAAATTGGAAGAGATGTTCTTGATCTACCTGGTGTAATTTTTCTTCTCTTGATCTATTTGATTTTATTTAACTGCCTGTAAATATTGTTTTAATTTCTTTTGGCAAAATGCTATCTATGAGTTTTTTTTTTCAGATTTATAAAGAAGCATTTGAAAAGAAATTTTTGGAAGCCACAGATTTATTGTATGCTGCAGAAGGACAACAGTTAATGCAGGAAAGAGATGTAAGTTGACTTGTTTTAGTATGCTCATAATTCAGGCTCTTGTTTCAAATCAAAAATACTTTTGATATGAATCTAGTGTTAATTTAGGTGTAAATTCAGTGCTTCCTTATGAGTTCCCCAAATGCATTTCGACCGTAGTCAAAATCCTGATTTCCACATAGACTTGTAGAAACACTAAAATTCTAATGTATGCAAACTTTATTTCAATATGATGTCATTATTTTGTAGGTTCCAGAATATTTACACCATGTTGATAAGAGATTAAATGAAGAAACAGAAAGATTATTACATTATTTAGACCAATCAACCAAGTAAACATCTGATAATTTTATTATCAATTACATCATAATATAAAATTGCATTTATTTCAAACATTTTATACATTGGAAGCTCTTTTTGAAGTTTAATTATGAGTGCTTTTTCTTTGATTGATATCATAGTATATTGCAAAACTGTTAAATGTAGCTTTTATTTCTTATGTTATATTTTTGTAGAAAACCTCTAATATCATGTGTTGAAAAGCAGCTACTAGAACAGCATTTATTACAGATTTTACAAAAAGGTATGACATGTAGCTTCTCATCTCTTCTTCTCTACAATAGTAAAAATAGTTAGTCAGGTGCTATTTTGTGTTAAATTTTATAATTAAATTCTGTGTTTAAATTTTAATTTGACAAATTGTACATTGTTCTTACTGTTTCATAGAAGTTCAATTTGAGTTATATTATTTATGAAATTTTATTAACAGGTTTGGATAATTTATTACAAGAAAACCGAATCGAAGATTTATTGTTGTTATATCAACTGTTTTCAAGAGTTAAAAATGGTCAGAAAGAGTTATGTACAATGTTTGCTGAATATATAAAGGTTTGTTGAAATTGTTTTGACACTTTAGTATGGGGTATGAAACAAATGGTTTTATGTTACAGAGAATTTGATTCTTTAAATTGTTCTTTTGATGCAGAATTTTGGACATTTTACAAATTTCCTTTCATTCAATCATTGAAAATTGAAATATCAAATCTAAATAGTAGTAATAATTGGTGAAGATTAAAACATGGACACGTATGTTTTCACAGACGGCAATATTGTGCCAAAATTTTAGGTTGAAAATTTCTGGTATTTACCAGTTTGAGGTATATGCAGGTCCATAAATTGGTTTAGGGCTGCCTATGTGTCAACCATTTCCAGCAAGCTAATCACCACAAAACAGTATCAAAGATTATGGTTAATTTCAAGTAATATGTTATAATTATAGAAAGCTGGAAGATGTATTGTTCTCAATAATGAAAATGATGCTGATAAAGATAAGGAAATGGTGCAGAAATTATTAGGTATTTATTTCACATGAAGTTAAGGAGTGCTTAAAATTATTTCCTTGAAAATGTTACGATTCTTGAATAGGATAAAAGAAAATTTTGATTAGAGTTTGCTAAATTTTATTTGTTTGTTCGTTATATATGAACCCTTTGTGACTAATTTATCAATCTATTTGTAGATTTTAAAGATAAGATTGATAATATAATTGACGTATGTTTTGGTAAGAGTGAGAAGTTTGTCAATGTTATGAAAGAAAGCTTTGAAAACTTTATAAATCAACGACAGAATAAACCTGCTGAACTTATTGGTAAGAACAACATTTACTCTATTTAGATCAAATATGATTAGCATATAAAGCCTACATCATCCATTCAATTTATTACAAAATTTGTACCAAGACATCATAGAAACATTTGCTGTTGTCATGATCTAACTACTAAAACTAGTCTTAATTATATGTGGTAGGCCTCATTTAAGAGAGTGTCTTGTTTCTTTATAACTTCTATATTGGTAATTGCAATGTTATTTTGACGCATAATACTATATACAGCCAAGTAACCTAATTTCTTGGAAAATTATTATTCGTGGATTTCCGGAAAGGATTAATAATTTACATGAGCAACCTTGCGCGACCTCCGCATTAGTTTGTTTTGATAAATATGGGTTTTCTCTACAATATCAGCTAGTAGAATGAATCCAGTAGTTTCAAGCAATGTAAAATGTATTAATGTATACTTTGACAAATACAAAATGGCGTATTTCACTTATTACCAAACGTCACCATTTTTTATCGGCCAAATTTCCTTATAATCCCAAGCAGTAATCGGAATTCCAAGTGTCGTCTGCTAGAATGTAGTCCAACGAATGAAGTCACGTGATCAACTAACGGATTCCGTGTCAGCAGAAAATTTCTATGGAACACAAAGTGGACCATATTCTTATGTTGTTTCAGTGACTTTTAGCAATAAATCACACTACGTATCTTATTTTGTCAGTCACTATTTTTTTTTTAAATCGTGGTTCTTTGAAGGAATTGTCACTAGTTATAATGAATTGATATTAAAGATAAATACTAAGAGAAGTTAATTATACCACCCGATATCCATATAACGTGTTTTTCTAGACTTATTTATAGATGAAACATTGTACACGAAAATAGGTGACGCATTCTGCCGCCGTTGCCGAGTTGGTTGCTCATGAAATATGGGTCAAAGTGAAGGATTCATAAAGAAAATCAAAATAAACCAATTTTAATTATCTTGTAGAATATCTGAGGAAACATCTAAGACATACAAATTTTTTTTTGTTTTTTTTAACTTTGACGAAATTCGGTGTTGAATCCTTATATCCACGAAAATAGGTTACACCACTGTACTATTGGAATTTTGAAGAATATATATTTGCAATTTCAGCGAAATATGTGGACAGTAAGTTGAAAGCAGGCAATAAGGTAAGCATGTTTATGTTTTTTCAGAATAACCTTCATTCTGTTTGAGTAGGAAGTGATATATATATGTAAAATTGTTGTCTCAAAGTGAACTCAGGCTGATGTTTAATTTGTTTACATTGTTACAATATTTTTTATAGGAAGCTACAGAAGAAGAATTAGAACAATTATTAGATAAAATAATGGTTATATTCAGGTTTATACATGGTATGTTCTTTATTCAATACACAGGAATAATATACATTATATAGTATGATACAGAGTCTATTTTATGATATAACTATAGCATTATCCTAAATTATGATTATATTTGATTGTAGGTAAAGATGTATTTGAAGCTTTCTATAAGAAAGATTTAGCTAAGAGATTATTAATGAGTAAAAGTGCTTCCGTGGATGCTGAAAAATCCATGTTATCCAAGTTAAAACAAGGTAACTTGATGTTTTTTCAGATTGAATGTTTTCCCTGATCAAAACATAAATTTCAAAGCATAGACTTCTATAAGGAATATGATTTTATACATGGCCATTTATTTATCTTAATATGAATTAATGTGTATTTCAAAGAGATCAAATTGAAATGTTACCTTTGATGTTTATGTATAATTATGTTCCTCTTATTATAGAATGTGGTGCTGCATTTACTAGTAAATTAGAGGGAATGTTTAAAGATATGGAATTATCTAAAGACTTATCACTAGCTCTCAAACCTGTAAGTATTCATTTTGATTGTTTTGTTTTTTGATAATTTTATTGAATTCTTATTTGATTTCATCAACACATTCCAAATTCCCTAATCATTTATTTTTTATAACAGTACATGCAGAATTTAGATGTGGCTGGTGGTATAGAATTAACAGTAAATATATTAACTATGGGATACTGGCCTACATATCAACCTATGGAAGTTCATTTACCACAAGAGGTGGGTTCTGTAAATTTCATCATCATTGGTAAAGCAGGTCAGATAAGACAATAAACCAAGGCCCTTGTCTACAGGCTGTCTATAGTATATCCCTTGACAGTTAGTTGGAAATGGAAAAAGAATTGTCTAAAACAGCTAGTGCGTGCAAATTTTCCCTATTGTTTATTGCAAGGCATTGCCAGTCTTCATTAGTAGATAAAGAAACAACTCCTTTCTATATCTTTCGTATATTTTCAGAAGTTTCACTGTCATGTAAATTCGACTTAAACTTTAGGATCTATGTTTATGCATACATTACTGGTACCACATTATTTTGTCGAACCATCTCGATATCATCTATCAATTCTAATAGCAGACGGTATTGGTACTAACATGATATGAGACTGGAATATTTTGTTTTTGTAGATGATTAGGTATCAGGAAATATTTAAGAAGTTCTATCTTGGTAAACATAGCGGAAGGAAACTTCAATGGCAGCCATCATTAGGTCACTGTGTTTTAAAGGTGGATTTCCCCTCTGTAAGTAAATAATATTTAATATTATGTGGTTAATTATAATAACAAAATATTTTCTCACAGTTTCATTATGTGCGATCTTCAAACTATTTCAGCCTGTGTTTCTATCTAGGAAACTCTGAGTAACAACATGTTTCAGGTTTTGTTTTAATATTTTTACATAGTATATTTCAATCAAAAAATGATTAGTTGCAAAAGAACAAATATTTGATTATTTATAGTAAAAATGATAAGGAAAAATCAGAATCAGAAAGTTTTTGTCCTTATAAAACTAAATGATTTCACAGTATCTTATAGCATGTTATTCTATACAACTTTAAAATATCTGACCGTGAATTAAGAAAATCTTTATTTGGTAATGGAGTTTTACCCCCTTAGCTATTGTAGATAGATAGAATATTGAATTTATATTATATGTAATTTATTTATCCTAGGCTAAGAAAGAATTACAAGTGTCACTGTTTCAATCTTTATGTCTGCTATTATTTAATGATAGTACAGCACTATCTTATGAAGAAATTAAAGCTGCTACAGCAATAGGTCAGTTGATAACAGGGTGTTGTTTGTCAAATATTTTAGCATATGAATTTATCCCATTAGCATGAAATATTAAGCTTGAGAATTGATATTTACCTTAAATGAGTTATCTGAAAAAGAAATGGCTGATACACAGTAAAATACAGTTATGTAGAAAAACACCCAGTTATATTTCATAACTGTTTGGCACATTGTTGTATTTGACAATAATAAAATAAATTATGTATGTTTTGTAGAGGAAAGTATATTAAAAAGAACTTTACAGTCATTAGCTTGTGGTAAACCAACTTTAAGGGTACTGAGTAAAAAACCAAAGGTAGGTTTCAGATAATCAATATATCTCAATTATCGCTTGTGTTTATCTTTTAATCCATAATAATACAAAACAATAATCACTGTATTTACAGGGTAGAGATATAGAAGATGGTGATAAATTTTATTTTAATGAAGAATTCAAACATCCTTTATTTCGTATACGAATTAATCAAGTCCAAATGAAAGAAACGGTAGGTCCTAAGATCATATTATGATTTGATAAAGGTGATTGTTTAATGATGGGCTAGTCTAGTTAAATCTAATAGGTCAAGTTCACTTTGAAGTTTTGGCCCAAGGATGTCAATGAATTTTTTCAATAAAATAGTAGAAGTTGGAACCTAATTACTTTGGTTTAAGTTTTCATCATTGATACATGTTAAAGTATTTGATTGATTCAGTTGACAGTATTTATTCTGATTTTCGTATCCAGTATTCAGATAGGGATACAGAAGAATATAATTTCTTTGTTGACATGCATATTGTAGCCTGAAGAGAATACAAGTACAACAGAAAAAGTTTTCCATGACAGACAATATCAAGTAGATGCTGCTATTGTACGAATCATGAAAACAAGAAAAACTTTAAGTCATAATCTATTAATATCTGAACTATATAATCAACTTAAATTCCCAGTCAAGGTAAGCAGCAAATTGTCACATTATGTATTTTATCTTATATAACACAAACAATATGTATTTAAACTTAGTCAAGTGGAGATATTTATGTGAAATCTGGGCACAGATACAATTTAAGCAGTTCATTTTGATAAAATTGATTTTTGATAAATAGCAAATAAATGTAAACATTCTTGGCTTTAATTTGTTTTTTATTTATTTATGAACATTTCAAATGGTTCTATGTGTTAAAATTTATTTTTGTAAATTTTGTTATATTATAGCCAACAGATCTGAAGAAACGAATAGAAAGTTTGATAGACAGAGATTATATGGAGCGTGATAAAGATAATCCAAATAGTTATCATTACGTTGCCTAATGAATCCAGACATCTAATCAAATATATGTGATATTTCTTATTATGTGGTGTTTAAATCAACAATATGTGAACTTCAGGGTTTAAAAACACCGTTAAATTCAATTTGGGCAACAAACTTGTGTGCTATATCAGTGAAAGCCAGGCTAGTTGCAGTGGTGTTGTGTTTCTAGAGAGAAGCCATTGTATATAAAAACGTGTATATTTGGAAGTTGTCTTGTGAATATATTGTAAATAGTATAAATATTGCTGTGCAAAAAAAGAGAAAATGAAATTTGTACATATCTTGAAAAAAATATTTTGATTTTAAATCTTAAGCTATAATTCATCATGAAGATGATCTGAACAACATACTTGATTCCAATGGAAATCTACCAGTGCTTAATTGTTTTTTTTTCATGGTAAACTCTTATGACAATTTTGATTCTCAATTGTCACTGAATAGCAAATTAACACCACTGTGGATAACAACTGACAAAAATATTAATATTTCAGAATATTTTCTATCAAGTTCAAATAACAAATTAAACATTGACAATATTTAGTACAGATTTACAAATCCTTCCAATTTATCTCAGCTGAATCTTGTTCTTAGGGCGTGTTTAATACAATTTATTTTTTCTTGGGTCATAAAGCAACCAGTGTAGAAAAATTAAAAAATATGTATTAAAAATGCTCAGGAAACCAAAATTCTGCAACGTACTGAGAAAAAATTAACCTTTGTGGTGTGTGTATCTATTTACCCTTTTCTTGTAGATGTTATAATTTTGAAAGGTTTACAGTTGTCTGTTTCTCCTCTTCTATTATTTAATGAACTGACAACCTTTTGGTAGAATTAAAGTGGCTCACTTCATTGCAGGCATATCCAAATTTGTGCTCATGAATGCTAAAGATAGCTGAAATCCGTCTCAAGAAATTTACATCTTGTCTGCTGGTGCAATTCAAGCTAGTTGTCATGTCTTTCTCAATAGAATTGACATCATAATTCAGTTGAAAGTATATATTTATGATCCAATATTTAAAGAAACGCGCATTGAGATTTTTCAACTGAAATTTTAAGATCAATTAAACAATATTTGTTTTGAGTTTTTAGCGAGTGTGTAAAAAATTTGTGTTAATGTACATAACTGACTCCATAAAAGTGCTTAGTAATTAATATTATTCATTATCCCCAAGCATAGTGCATTTCTTGTTTGTTTGTCTTATGTAAACCAAATTACCAACATATTTCTGGTAGTAGAGCAGCTTTAAAGTTTTGGTTTGCATTGATTATATTTTGTTGTTAAGTTATATTACACTAGACTAGATTAGCAGGTGAAAAAGGATTACTTTAATGTATTAGAACTAGATGTTACACAAACATAATCTTAATTTGTTCATTTAAGATTGAGTTTAGTGTACAATTAAGTAAGTCTCAAGATCCATGAATTTGATAACTGTTTCCTTATTTTCATATTTAGGTTGTCTAGAAAATTTGGTTTTTCTTCTAATAAAATATTAATTTTGACATGAAGGTACTAAAACTAAATTCATACAGATTTAACTTATAGAGGTCTTTTATTTTCTTGTATTTAGTGACTCAATGCAACTCATTTTGTCAAAATACTATACTTTGAATGATTAAGTTATTTGCCTTTATTTTCTTGAATGTATAAAACAAATAAAGAATCAAGATTTGATGTACAGGCCTTTTTGTTAAGACTTTAAAACTCTGACTTTTGTCAGCAATCTTAAGCTGTGTCTGGTATTTATGATACAATCTGATTTGATCAATATAGCATTGCAATATTACGCCTTTCTGGAGGATAATGTCTGACTGTTATAGAAACTTTCTCAAGTACACCTTCACCTTCTATTGATTTGATAATTTTATTCTGATAATTACATTACACTACAGATCATAATTTATATACAGTTCTCATTCATCTTTCAAATTTGGTATGGATTCCAAGCCCTGAAAAAGATTATCAGTTTCAAATAAGTCCATTATTAAAAAATCCTTCTGAGGTTACTTTTGACCATGTCATAGATAAAGACAATGTAGATGCTGGTCTGGTCTTGACATTCTAATGAAGTATAATTACAACATATACATAGTATTCATAGTAAGTGTTGCAACCAATATTTTCCTCAAAAGCAGCATTCCGATTTAAAAAATTTAACAGTCATTTAGGGATCTGTCTATTATAAATTCAATTATTGTTATGAAACTATTTGACAAATTGCAAATGTCTCAAATATTGTTTCTATTGGGATACAGGCCTAGCTTTGATGATCTAATAATACACACTTTTGTAATAACAAAGATCACCACAGCCACAGCCATATACGCCCACCATGCGGATGGTAATTATTCAAGATTCAAATTTGAACTTGATCTTCGTTTTATGAATATGTATACACACCAAGAAATCTAGTTTTTAGAGCGTTTACAAGCAAATGTTGACGGATGGACAGACAGACCTTCGTTTCATGCTTCAAACACTATAGTTTTTAGAGTGTTTATGAGCAATTGATGTTTATAGAAGAACTTACTGTAAAGAGGTTAAAGGGCGATAACTCCTCAAAACTGACGTAAGAGGACTAAATAGGACTCACTCCACTAAAACATTTTATGCAAATGATTGTATAGGAATGTAGTCCAGGCTATTTTTAGAAATCTTCTTTCTCTCTCCCTTTTGGGGTTTTTGCCTGCCTATTTTGGGGTAAAATTTGGTCTAGATTTGGAATTTGATGTCTGAAATTGCATTATCTTTCAGATTTGGTGAGATGATGAGAGACTTAAAGGCGGAAGGCTAATTCTAAAAATAGTCGTTTTGTGAAGTGCCAAACTCTAGCGGATGAGTATAACCGGTAGTAGTCTACTTTCAATTTTAGTAGCTCAAAATTTTCATGGTCATCATATAATGAATTTTTTAGGAGACATTGAGAATTGGTCAGGCTTTCATTCGACATGTTGGAAAGCTTTCAACAAGATTAATGATTGTATAGGAATGTAGTCCAGGCTATTTTTAGAAATCTTCTTTCTCTCTCCCTTTTGGGGATTTTGCCTGCCTATTTTTGGGTAAAATTTGGTCTAGATTTGGAATTTGATGTCTGAAATTGCATTATCTTTCAGATTTGGTGAGATGATGAGAGACTTAAAGGCGGAAGGCTAATTCTAAAAATAGTCGTTTTGTGAAGTGCCAAACTCTAGCGGATGAGTATAACCGGTAGTAGTCTACTTTCAATTTTAGTAGCTCAAAATTTTCATGGTCATCATATAATGAATTTTTTAGGAGACATTGAGAATTGGTCAGGCTTTCATTCGACATGTTGGAAAGCTTTCAATGAGATTTCTGGAAAAAGTTATAGAAGGTTGAATTTCGTGTTTTAGCATGGGAAGAGATGGCAAATGAATTAGTGGAGTGAGTCCAAATCTTGAAAAATCCTTAAATTTAATCAGAAGTAAACTAAACTTTCTCAAACCTTTCGATTTAGTTCCAATAACATCCATTTTAAGTTTCATCAAAATCGGTTGAAAACTAAGAGAGTAATAGCATATTCTAGATTTTGGTGCAAGGGCAATAACTCTGCTTCTAAAGGTAAAAAAAAAAGCTCAGATCGAACTTGATCTTCATTTTATGAATATGTATACACATACCAAATTTCATTTGATTCCATCGTAAAAATCTAGTTTTTAGAGCGTTTACAAGCAAATGTTGACGGACTGACAGACGGACAGGGGTGCCGACAGTATACGTCCACATAGAGAGATGTGGGGAGAGATGTGGGGTAATCTGACAAGGTCAATTTATCATTTTTGCAAAGTTTTTCATGTTGGAAGGAAAGGGCAATATCTACTATCAATTATCAATAATACTGCTGGCCTTTATCTTATTAAGAAACATCTCTTACTTTCGGAATATATTCACTACCAGTAATTCTACGATCTCTCATGTACATCAACGAGTTCAGATTATCTCTATCTTGTATGTCTCTTCTGACTTGCTATAAATAAATAAACATTAAATGATTATAAAATGCAGATGTATTGTTTCAGTCAATTCAAATACCTCATACTCTTGCATTATTATCCATTTTCTGCCCAAATCCATCATTTTTGAGTGGATTGTGAATAGAATGTGGTGTATTAGGTGACATTTCATGGAGTGACCAACATATAAGCTTATATGATGGACAGGGTTTTAGTCACTTGGCACTTAACCAAAATGGCACCGAAAGACAAACTGAAAAAACATTAATATGACCTTTGTTAAAATTGTTCAATGAAATAAAATATTATATTTGTACCATTTTGATCTTTTCCAGGGGTCATTTTGACCAATTTTTGGGGGTCAATTCGACTAAATTTGGGGCCATTTTGATTAGGTGCCAAATTGACTATAACATATAGACTTAGTACTTTGACTTTGTTAGAAAGAAGTAACAAATAAATAACAGCCCACCTTGCCATTACAAGTGGCATAGTTCAATGCCCTATTAACAACATCTGGAGCAATCATACAAGCAAGCATAATGCCAGCACTTGGTATCATTTCAAACCACATCTTGAATATTTAGCCTAAATCAAACCAGAAACTACAGAAGTTAGTATATAGGCATGAACCCAACGATTATTTTCATTAACTCACAACCATGTAACCTTCCACTCTAAAATAGGGATTATTCTTTAAGGCTCACTCAAAATTTGCATCTAATTAATCAAAATCATAGAACTATGATCAAAATGAATACAAAGGACAATACCTTTGAACTTATTATGTAAGTCAAGAGAAATTATTAATAAATCATTGAAATTGACGAATTGAGAGATTGTTTTAGAAATATTAAAAGAAAGAAAATCCAAAAAGAATCATGCCATGCAAGGTTCGACAACTCTGCTCGTAACGCCCAAAGATGATATTTGGATCATAATGACAGTAAAAAAAAAATCAGACATGAAGAACAAACATGAGATCGTAATATGATATGCATATTTATAAAATTCCGTTATCTTTATAAGTTATTTATTGAGAAATAGTCTTCAAATTGTCCAGCAATTTGGGGTTTAGCATTATGATTTCCGTTATAGGAATTTGCACGCTACTAAAATAATGGAAGCCAAATACAGGAAATGAATGAATGAATGAAAGATTGAATAAAATGAAAGGAATGACTGAATAACATTGTGGGATAAATATTATATTTAGGCTAGGTAAGTCTTTTATTCATGGACATCTCAAACTCTCTACTCAAATCGAAGCTGTTTGCCGAGAAAAAAGGCAACTAGTTGTAGCGCTCTAGATCTAAGTTCTAACTTGCTTTGCTTTGCCTTTTTTTGGCTTTGGGTTGCATTTTCTCTCATATTGAAACTCGAGATGTAGATCAACTCTCAATTCATAAATATTCTGAATGAAATTTTCAGCTGTATACCATTTGTCTTAAGAAGATATTTGTGATCATAAGGTTTGGTGATTTTACATTTGAAATAGACACACTCTATGGAGACAGTTAATGTCCAGTGATATTAACCTTATCATGTTCAATGAAGGGATGTTATTTCACAAATATTCAATGTAACAATTTTTTTATATATATTAATCATTTTCCCTCTGTTCCATAACTATCTAAAAGAAATGTGTTAATTGTTTTCTATTTTTTTCTTCAGGAAATATTCATTAGTAAAACTAAAAGAAAGAAAGACATAAATAAAGCAGATAAAAGTTTAGTTTAGACAGAATATATAATTTTACAGGTACCTGCTGCTAATCTATTGACTACAGATTGAATTAAACAGGCCTACTGAAAATAAGGACTTATGGAAAAACAAATCAAAAAAGAAGACAAATCAAAGTCTAAAGGCGAGACTGTTCTTTTAAGATATCCAATGCCAAAATACAGTTTTCAGGGAAGAAAATTAGAAAAAACAGATGTAGAGAAAAGAGAAGAAGGAAAAAATCCCATTCAACAGAAAAGTCAGACTGAAAATAATCAAAAAAGTCTCACTGAAAATCAACAGAAAAGTCTTACTAAGAAACAACTGTCACATAAAAATCTGACTGAAAAAAATCAAAACACAACAGATCAAAAAGTAATTTCTTCAAATAGAACACATCCAATAGAAAGCCCTATAAAGACAACATCACATTCTAACCAATATTCTTTCAATGTTCAGAAACCTAGTCATTCTGTTGCACCTAAACCTAAAGAAAACAACCCTAGTCTTCCAGTATCTAATAACATTCCTGGTGCATTGAGCAAACCCATCAATATAGTCACACCAGCAACCAGTAAATCAGCTATAAGTTTACCAGTTAATAATGAGGCCTGTATTTCACCAAATCTGTCACATCAACAACCAAGGAATAAAGATAAGGAAATACGTCTGGAAACAGAAGTGGAATCATTGAAATCTCAACTTGAAGTACAGTTACAGGTAAATATGAACTTTTGAAAATCATTTGGTACCAGTACTCAGTTTACAAACATATCATAATTGAAGAGAGCTCAGATCAAACTGCCAAGTTATTAATAAGTATTAGGTATATATTTTATATTGTTTCACATATGATTTGTAGGTAAATTCAGAATTGAAAAGACTTTTATTAGCATCTATGGGAGAAGAATTGAAGGATGATGTAGAAAAGTTAGCAAGGTGAGAATTAATGATGGTATTGTTTTACGTAAGCTTATATAGACAAGGCTCAGCTATAGTTTTTGCTGAGTTGTCATTTTATAACTCTGCTGTATGTCATTAGAACTGGATGATTATGTTATGATTTTATGTACAAGGCTTTACTATCATTAAGACTACCGGTATGTTATGATGTTATGTTTTTTGAACCTTGACGAGCCCAGCTATGATTAGAACTGGATGATTATGTTATAATGTTATTGCTTACAGAGACAAGGCTCAGCTGTCATTAGAATTGGGTGATCATGTTCGAAAGATGACAGAAGATTATGAACATTTAGATAAGATATCAATACAAGCTGATATGTGGCGAAGTAAATTTTTAGCTAGTCGGTATGTTTTCTTTCCAATAGGATTCAGATTGCTTTCTAGTTGCTAGTTTTTTATGTGTATTGGGGTCATTTAATAGGTTTTATTTGTATCATTGCAATTTTTTTTTATAGATGTCTGTGGTTCCTTTAATGATAGAAATGCTTAACTGTATATGACGTGATTATTACAACAGCTGCTAATAATACCCTAGTCATCTGCCTCTATTCCAGCCTCTGATAGATATATTTTGATAGTTATCAGCTGGAGTAGAGTCTACTCACCTCCGAAGATGCTTTTTTTCTAACATTATATTGAATTATATTTACGCGGACTGTAAATTAGTTTGGGTATCGTTGTAACTTTCGTTTTGATTGTACCGTGTGACAAAAGAACTTTTTGCTGCACACAGTTTTAAATGGCCGATGAGAGATCAGTTTCGTTAAATAAAACTTTGAAGGAACCACAGACCTGATATATATATTATGAGTATGATGGTATGACTGAACTACAAATATATCAAATACCAAATATTTGGGTTTGTCAGTTCTGATTTAAATAAATAGATTTAAAACCCCAGCAACTTCAGAGGTGTGGAAACATCACTATTAAACAGGATCTAGTGTTTGTTTCTACACCAGTCGACAACTTTCAAAATAGAGGCAAATGATGTGGTCTGATTATATCCTAGCCTTTGTGATATTATGAAAAGGTTAGTCTTAGTGATGTTGCAGAAAATACTTTTTCTGACTGAAAGTTGGTGAAAATAGATGCTATCAGTGTCCTCAATACAGATTCAAGTTTGTAAACGTTTTTACAATACCTTTAATTCTATTTTTTCTGTGTTGCTTATGTTCAATTTTGTATTGATTCTCCATACCCTTCGGTAAATTGATTAACGTTATTTCTTTTTAGAGTAATGATAGATGAGTTAGCCAATGCCAAAGCATTCTATTCATTGCAATATCAAGAATCTCAAGATGTTCTACAACAATTATTAAACGAGCGACATGAAATCAGAACAAGTTTACTAGAGGGATACAAGTAAGTTTATTTATTGAAGAATCATTATCATGGTAGGGAAGAATCGCAACCAGATACAAAATTTCTGTGACTCCTTCATAGTATCTGGTAATAGAGATTTAAGAGTTTGATTGATTGGGCATTGCTTTGGAATTTGATACATAAAGTGAACAATTGAACTTAATTTATGAAAACCTGTATTCCCAAAATGGTTTGAACAAAGATGCATGCATATCATAAAATTAAAGGATTAAATATTTTTATAAAAAATTATAGAATAATATAGAAAAAACAGATTATGACACTGCTCTTATATAATAGATTTATATGTCTATATGTTGATGTACTGGTAGACCCATCTGATTTGTTATAGGTCGTCCAAATTGCCAAAATTAATGTTCTAGATGACTAACCCAATATTATTTATTGTTTTAACCTTTCAGTGAAATTTGGCCAGGAAAAGTGAATATTTGTGATCTATTTTATTTGATGAATTGAAGTCAGTTTATAATGTTGATTATTAAAACAAGGCACAATATATGTCACTGTTACCAATTGACACTCCTATATATATATTCTAGATGAAACTTGATATCAGTATCAAATTATTGTGGTTGATAACATAACAAATGTATAGGTTGGTTGACATCATTTGTTGAAGATAATTCTATGGTCTGATTTTATTATACATATTGTGGTATTTCTATATTGTCAGCACGCATGTCTGCATGTCACCCCATTTCCTGGTAACTGCCCTAGAATCTACATTATTCAACTGATATTTATAAAATATACATACAAAATATTACAGACCATGTTCCAATTCCAAATATTGACATATTCACATATTGAAAATGGTATAGCTCTGTCACTTTTCAACCGATTTCTAAAGTCAAGTCAAGCCAGTTTGCAGTAACTTCAGATATTATCTCCCAAGTTTTCTAAGCGTGATGCAATAACTTTTATAGCCTACTTAGCTTGCTTTTTGGTTTCCATAACAGAAACATTCAGCATAAGTTTTAGAACTGAATTATGTCCACATAAAAATAAAGTAGAATCTTGCTCCAAGCTTTAGTTAGTTATAACCAATATCTCAGTTTGCAGTATAAATTTCAGTGATGATAATTTGTATAAAAATAACTTTAATAATCAAGATAATAATAACATGTGCAATTTATAAACTATATGCCTACATTATCACTTAAAACAAGCTGCTCACCACCTCTCTTTCTAGTACAGACATAACAGAACAGTTTGATACGTTTTCTGTAACAGAAGATAAGAACAGCAATAATAATCACTACAATAACACAACATGCTATAGTTATAGTCAATGTCACATGAGATATACTACCGCAATTGGTAGGTTTATAGTCTTCTAATAGGATAAAGCTTCCTGTTTCCTCACTTAGACATTCTATCTGGGTTCCCATTGTAAGAAATTTTAAAGGCTCCTTCACCATCCAGTTGTGTAGCCAGGCAATATCACAAGAACATAACAGTGGATTATCAGCAAAGCCTACAGCTATCAACTGATCCTGTATACTTGGTGGGATGGTACCTTCTGAGATCCTTGTTAATCGGTTTGAATTTAGATTGAGAACTCGAAGTGAAGGATAGTTAGCTATATCCTCCAAATGTAGCTTGGTAATTTTATTTTCACTCAAATCTAGTTCAGTAATATTGGAAGAGTTAAATCGTGGCACATTTCCCAAGATACTATTACGTAATGATAAAATTTCCAATGTTTTAGGCAAAAGAGTGCTCATGATGTCCTCTGAAAATGTTACGAAATCTTGAAAATTACTGCTTGATAGGTCTATAGTCTTTATCAGATTCATTCCATCAAAACTTTTGTCTGTAAAAATATAGCTTCTTAATTCATTTCCAGCAATATTTAGAGTCTGTAAGGAACTGCTGGTAAAGGCACCAGTTGCTATTTGAACTGGAATTCTTAGCATTGAACTGATCTGTAGGGTTTCAAGAGCTGTCATTGATGCTATAAGTTGATTTGGAATCAATGTAACTGGATTATAATTGAGTGCAAGATGTTTCACAGAAGTTAAACAATTAAAATCTTCATTATCTAAATAGGTTATAAAATTATCATCCATTACCAATTTAGATAGTCCAGGAAATATTGAAATATCTTGAATACAGAAAAAAGGCATTGCCAGAATATTATTGGATCTAAGATCTATATATTTAACACTGGGGAAAGACAGATCTGGTGAGGCACCAGTTAATCCTGAAATTCTATTACTAGATAGAATTAACTCTTCTAGACTGGTAAGGTTGACTAATGTCTGGAAATCAAATTCATTAAGTACATTATCACTCATATCTATAGTTTGAATAGAATTTAAATAGGTCAAAGGTTCAAATAGATTAGAGGGAATAGAGTCATCCCCTAGATCCATATGATGCAACATCAGTCTGTGAACATGGATAAATCTAAGTCCAACCAGTGCTTTCTGAAGTCCATCTGGATCTCGTAAATAATTTTTACTCAGGTCTAGCTCCTTTAAGTAGGTTAATTTAGAAAAAGCCATAGTGCTGATAAAAACAATTCCATTATTAGATAAATCCAGTATTTCCACACGGTTACCAGATTGAAATGTTATATTCTTAAATGTATCTCTATAGATTTCTGGGACTAAATTTCCACGAAACACCAGCTTCCTGGTAGTCGCTGGTATTCTTGGTATATAGGTTAGCTTATCCACTTTTCCTTCACATATTACCAGTGTCTTTGATGGACATCCACATAGGTGAGGACATTGTATCACATTAGGTGGAGTCACTGCTAACACTAAAGTTAAAATAACCAAAAAAATACATAAACTTCTTACAACTGCAATAAAGGAAACCATTTCGAGTAGATATAGTAAAGTTGGTCAGCTCAATGAGAGTGAAATCTGAACTCTGTTTAATCAAAATGAGAATTAATTATGTCACAGGACTAAGTATAAGTGACCTATAAATGACTGCAATAAAACATGTGTAGGTATAGATAGCATTCTAATTATTTATGTTAACTCATGTTCCACTCGCATATAGTGTTAACAGGCAGTTTTATATCGATAAATAGGCATTATATTTAAAGACTACAATTACTTCTAATAATATATATTTCTTGATACATAGGCATTAAGAGGCATTATTTTTTACCGTTATTTTAAGTATAAAAATTGCCTATATAATATACCGCACTACGCCCAGTTGAGACAACATGGTTTCTTTTTAGGCGTGTCTTTGAAATAGCTTTAGTAAACAGGCAACATGTTTAATAAGAAATTTATGTGTTTTTTCGAGGCCTGAGAGTTTGGGTGAAATAGAGAAGATAATATATGAATAAGAAAAAATATTTTCGATTTCATTTGAACAACTTAAACGCATATACTTGTCGAAATATTTTACGTCAGTTACTTTATACAATTATACAAATATTTAGCATGAAAGTATATATATTCTCATTTAGATATAATACAAATATCAAGAAATCATCAGTTATAACTGGTAACTGATAAACCGCATGGAAATGATTTGATGCATATAATACTGAAAGAATATGTCACAGTTGATTGGTTTATGTCTTTCAATAATACTCTTCTGTCTCTGAATTATACCCTCATAGACTATTGCATTTAACAATGAAAACACAAGAAATTCCACCCAAAATATTGCTATTTTCAAGTTCAAAAATTGAGTCTTCCTTAAGTTTCCTTCAAGACAAATTCAACAAGATATGAATAGATAAGATATATAAAAATAATAGAATATAGGCATTAATATAGAAATATTAAAACAGAATCCGAATCATGTTTGTTTTAATATTTCTATATAGCTCTGATATTGTTGTATTTGAGTACTATATGATATAAGCTTTATTGTATAATAATTGAATTTGTACGATCAAACCTAAAGGGACATCCGTTCAACCAATCGTTTGTTAGTCTCAGAAATAGGAAATTTGAGCCTTCAAATCAATGAGTGTTCAGAATTATCTGAAATGTCTGTTGAATGTTAAAATGACAACTTGCCTTATCTTGAGACTACACCATAATATAAAAGACATATAGAGATAGAAAGTGAATTTCTAGCTTAAGGTATATTTGAAGTGCAATTTTATGCAGTTATAGAACTTCTGAAGGCTATTTACTTATATATATTCAAGATCAACCTGCCAAAAAGCCAACTGTTAATTCCCCTTTAAGTACAGTAGGTTGATGTACACATTGAAAATGCAATAGATATAATCATATTAAAGAATTTAGAACACTGATGCACTGGTTGTAAACTATAATTATATGTGTTACTGACCTATACAATATGATGATAATTAAATTGAAGAAGTTCAACAAGATCATATATATTGTTGTGAAAGTTATACATGTTATCAATTTATACTTTGATTTGAAGATTCACATTCAGGTCCAAAGAACATAGCATTTCTCAGACTGTTATATACACTCACATTTTATTGGTAAATCAAATCAATTTTGAGTTCATATGAATTTTTTTTTTTAAAGTTCATGCTTAGTTTCATTTAAAAACTGAGATTTCAACAGGAATTGTCAAAAAAAAGAAGAAGAAAAAAAAATCAGAAGATTCTTCCGTGCGAAATACTTGAAATAATGTGTGATAATGAATTTTATGTATGGTATTCAACTATTTTGTGATGGATATACTATCGTTATAATAATATATTAAAAAGTATTGGAATTCATGCTTTAAATTTCTCTATTTACAGAAACCTTCAACAAGTAAAGAATGCTTTTGATCCTTTTAACACCCATCAATCTACAGTGCTACAATCTACTAATATATTGAATTTATCAAAACAAACACAACAACTATCTGATGTTATCAGATATAGACTATTACCTGCTGGTGTCACACTTCAATCTAGTTTGAATCTTGAGACTAATTGGCAGGATAGATTGACACCTGCTGAACATAGAGCTCATGAGGTTTGTACAATTATAATTATGGTATTTAATGGAAATCATCCACAGATCTACCTACCTACCAGATCAACTGTATTTAGCATTCCTCTTTGTAATCTACAGTAGATACCCTCATATATCAATCCCAAGTTGAAATCACCTCCAACACTCTAACCATTCTGCTATATATGGTGATGATTGCTACACATCTCAATAATTTTTAATTTTTAATTTTTAATTTTAAGTTTTTGAAACACCATAGCCTAAAGCTTTTTTCAGGGCACCAATTCCAAGCAAATGATATTTCTTGTAAATATTTGCATTATTAGCTGACAGAGATAAAGCCCAATTTCAGCTCCCTATAGCTCTTCAGGTTTTTTTTCACAATAAAACAGAATGATTTTGGTTAACTCCTATAGGTAGTGCTGTCAGATGGAAAGCAAATATATTGAAGACTTTAAGAAGTCAATATTTCTTATCATAGCCTACTCTAATTTTTTTTATTTTGTCTGTTTGTAGTTAATATCTAAAGATGTAAGTCCAAGAGAGTTTAAATATCAACTACCTACTCTGTTTTTATCTTCATCTACTGGTACATCTAATAGATATCATCCTCATACCCGTTTTGATGACTTAACTTACAACTGCTGCAGCAAATGTAAAGGGGAAATAACTCTCATTTAAAGACTTTTTTTCACTCAAAAGAGAAAGAGAAAGGGCATGCACATTATAACACAGATTCTATGTTATATTTTCATTCCATTTGTCATGTGTTGGAAAAAAAACACATTCAATACATGTTGATCTGTAATTTATCAGTTAACAGAAATAGTAAATTCTTTATTAAAATTGAGGAAGACTTTATAATGTGATATTTTTCAAGTGTATACCTATACCTATCTGCAACAAAATTTCTTCCATGCTACATTACAGAGAAAACTTTTAGGCATTTTATCAGTTGTATATAATTCTTAACACTAATACTGATGTCCCAGCAAAATTTCCCTTGTGTTGAAATCTGTAAAAGAAAAGGAAGACCTTAAACACTTTTTCATGTCATTTGCATTGTTAAAACTTTTGTGTTCAGGTATCATTAGATCAGGTCTTATTAGTTTATTTTAGTTTAGGTCTGAAGTTGTTTTTTATTTTTTTTTATTTTTGATTGCCATCATTTATTTAGCTTCAAATTCCAGATACGCCTAATATGAGAGATTTGAAGTGAAATTACATGTATATTTATAAGCAGCCATTGGTATAACATGACAGTTTGGTGCTAGGATATTATCTCTTTTATATTATGAATTTTTTTTTTATATATATGTGCCTTATTTAAAACCAAAGACTTGTGCATAATATAGGTACTTGATGTAGTACAGAACCCAAAATATGTTACATTAAGTAATATATGATTAAATATATTAAAATTTATAATCAGTATAATCTATATTATAAAGGTTATATCAAACATATTTCTATATAATTTCATAGCAGACTATCCAGCCTATTGCTAAATTTCCTCATGTTAAATCCATTTGCTCCTTGGCTCATTGATGACTGTGAGTGTGGCTATGTGAAGGGATAACTGCTCTTTAAATTGAATAAATTTTTATAGAAAACTATCAAGCTTATTGTCAGCTTTCCAAGAATTGATTTGCTTTCACTCAAAACTGTGGATTCAAGAATTCTTTGCAGTTTTGTATATGATCTTAAAACTCTCAGTCAGTGGTTGCATGTTATGACCTAGTCTGAATATCTGCCTCTATTCCATGGATACTTTGACAGTTGTCAGCTGGAGTAGTCAGAAGAAAAAGACCCTGTTAAATGGTGATTTTACACACGATTTTACACACCTCCCAAGATGTGTTTTCATAATATTGAATTACCTTTAAGATGATTGTAAATTAGTGTTGGGCATCACCATAACTTTCCTTTTGTTAGTATCAAGTGATTCTGTGACCTTTGAACTTTTAGCTGCACACGCAGTTTTAAATGGCCGATGCTAAATCATTTTCGCCAAAAAAAACTCAGACATGACATAAATGGTGTAGGGAGAAAATGATAGTATGACTGAACTACAAAAATGTTTACTTTTCCAAATATACCTGGGTTTTGCAGATCCGAGGTATCTAAATAGGTTTAAAACCCTACACCTGCGGAGATGTCCATTTAACAGGACTTATTTTTTCTGTCTCTACACCAGCTGTCCAAATAGATATCAAAGGCTGGAATAGAGACACATATTTTGGTCTGCTTATGATCTTACTACATAAAATATAAATTGCAATAGCCATTTAACAAATTACAATAGTTTCATTTCACTTAGTTCAACTTGTGAACTTGGTGAAAGATTTTAGACTCAGTTTAGAGAATTATATTGCATGGAATAAGTGGCTGTAAATATGGTATATAGGAACTTGCCCCCAAAAATCTAGTCTTTTTTACTAGATAACAACAAGGTGCCACTGGTAGAAGAATGAAGAGTCCTGGTTCCAGTAGATCTAAACCTTTTTATTGTTCACAATATTCTACTATGATTTATTTATTATGGTTAATGGAAAATATTTAAAAGATATATTATTATGAACTATAAATATCATATTATTAATATTATTAAATATTTTTATCTGATGTATGTTATTTTATTTATCACTATACTTTGAAAGACAAAACCTACATCATCTGCTATTCAATGCAACCAAACAATTACATATTTCTACTGTGTTAAATTGAAGCAGGTAAATTATGTGTTAAGGACCAAGGTAATACATATTCACGATAGTTCATTGGCTCATAAGAAGAAATTTTGATAAAAAGATTCATCGTTCTTTCTACTTATTGATAAGGGGGCATGGTTATTGGTTTCCTATTTATTTATTGATAAGGATATGTGGTTTAAACAAAGGTGAACGTATCCCACCCCTTCTTTCTTTCTTTTAAAAGATATATACTTGTATGAATTTAGGCCTATGCATTCCCACCCTATATAATTTTCAACACAACTTCTAAAGAACACATTTTAATTTTAACTGAACATGGAATAAACAAACCCCAGGATATTTAGTCAAGTTTAGACAAAAGCCACTTATTCACAAATTACAGATTTTGGATTATCATTCTAAAAATTACTCACAACCAAAATGGAGCACTGTCGTTATTAATATTCTTAAAATAACTACTAATGCTGATTGAATAAAATATATAATAAGCACATTTTATGAAATTTAAAAAAGAATTTTTTTTTTCGGACTATTAGTATTAGTACTTGTACTTGGCACTCTTTCGGATTAACTTAGGATTGTTAGTCTGACTAAATGATCATGTCTAGCTACTGTCATTCGCAAGTCATTGTCTTTTACATTCAATTCATTTATGACGAAATAATTGCACTTCTTAATGTATCTTTATGATTTTTCATTACCTGTTTCATATCAGAAACAAAGAACAACAAGAGTTCGGGGTTATAAGAGCATCCTTAATCATCGTAGATTTAAACTATTTTGTTAAATTGCTCTAGTTACCAATTTGTTTTTGATTAACCGGACATTTACCGGAAATCCGGTTTATTATCCAATGAAATTACCATTTACGCGGCTGTTGCTACAACAACAAATAAATCCCAAGAAGAAAAAGGTTCTAAAATTAATGGTTTTAATTGACTAAGCCAGTTTGTGACCGAAGTTCTTCACTTTTTGAGAATGGTAAGCATGTGTTTGTATATGTCTGGTCTATTTTTGGTGTACAGGTCTTGCTGGCCAGTTCGTGCAGTGTTGATTGTCAACAGCCAAAAAGAAGATAGAGTAGGCCTAGTCAAACTGAAGCAAAAATATGTTTGTGTAGGCCTATTGGACCTAGTATGCTGCATTGGTCATATGGATAGGGCCTACTAACTAATGAGATAACTTTGTCTTTTTAGACAGTTAACACCTATTAAAATACGCTTATACTAATCCTAACTATTAGGCCTAAAACTAATGTCTACCAGCACTCGGATAGTGAGATAATCAATGTTAATAACGATAGGTTTGTAGTCTAACTACTATTTCTACACTGTGACGTGTAGAAAAGATTTTATGGTCAAATTTTTAACCCTCTGTGCATTAGTATCTACACCTACTAGCTATGTTTATAATGCAAACAATAGAAGTGAAAAGTATGAAAAAATTTCCATCATTCTTGTCTCATTCTTTTGTCACTTCGACAAACATCTTTTATAGACCACTTCTGGACTGTGAATTTGTAGTAAAAATCACAGTCAATAGCTTGACTAGTTAAGACCTAGTCATTTTTAGGTTTCTTTATTCATTTTGATGTAGAGAAAAACAATAGGGCTGTTAACCTGTCATTTTTAGAATAGGTTTGTTATATATAATAGATCTATTAATAATAAGCTTATGCTTTGAAATTATATAATTATTTCAAACATTCAACAAATGTCAGGCTTCGTTTAATAAACTAATAACTAGGTCACTGTTGTCATTGTTTTCATAAGTAGTGTTTAGGTGTTGATGGTCTTGGACTCTTTTTTTGTGGGACAAGCTGATGAATTTTTCCTGTTCTCTTTTCAGGGTGATCAGGATGATAGATACACTTTTGTTGTGGAATGGTATGAGGAGATAGCTGCTAGAATAAGACAGTTTTTACTCATTTACTATGTTAAAAATAAAGGTGTTGAAATGGTAAGACAATACTTTTAAATAGAATTATACTTTAAGGGTTGGTTTGGTTTTGAATATGTGTAAGTCTTAATAAGCACCAGACCTGCACGAAACTCACATAATTCCTTCAAATACATCTCAAACTAGAAATCTAAATTTCTATTTCTATATATGGAAGAGTCTCAAGAATTTGTAACTTTCACACATGGATTTGTTGGCTCAAATTTTAATGGTTAGCTGTGATCACTTTTACTTTTACTAGGTTAGCCAAAAAATTCCTGTTTCTGAGACTAAAGCACAATGTTTCAAACGAATTGTGAAGATGTTTCTTTAAATATAGAACTTTTATGTTTACATAATTGAGTTTTTTATAAAAAAAATTTTTGTAATGTTTTCAGTATGATACAAACAGCCGAAAAACTTTCCTAAAAACATCATTACGAGATCAACCTATAGATTTATCAGATCTATATATTGGTAGCAAGATACATATCTTAGGTCGTCAGTTACAGATTACTGAATATGGTGATGAATACACTAAAAGTAAATTATCAACAAAGAAAGAAAAGTAGGTATTCAGAGATTGAATTTAGGAGCTTTTTATTTATTATTTTTTAAGAATTTGATTTTTGAATATAAACCCAGTGTTTCATGTTTCTTCCTCATATAACTTCACTGGCACGTATAATCCTGTTCAATCTAAATTTGTTACAAGTTACGCTTACTAAATATTGTTAAAAAAGGTCTGAATTTGAGGTTAGAAGATTTATAAATGTCTGTCTGAATGCCAAGATTCTCTGTTAAATCTCTGCTTTTTTGGTCTTATAGCACATTCATTTATTTTAGAAAAATAAAATATTTGTCAATGAAAAATTGGGTTGAATTTGAATTAAGGTGTAAGCTTGATATTGCTATTTTTTTACCACTTGAATTTTAAGCAATTCTTTTGAAGCTTTAATATGAATGATTCTATGTCTCCTTTCAGAACTCTGGGATTAATAAAGCCCGATGCTATCAATAAAATGGGTCAAATATTAGACCATATCTACAGAAATGGTTTCATGATTACAAAATTGAAAATGTGTCAGTTAGATAGAAATGAAGCATTTGAAATGTATCAAGAACATCGTGGAAAATCTTTCTTAAAGTAAGTGTAAGTTTTGATTGGAGTCTTTAATTAATAGAAGGATCCAATACTGGCAATTAATCCTTTTTAATTAGTTTACATTTGTCAATTATTTTATTCAATCAGCATTAGTAGATTATTTTAAGAATTATGTACATTTAAGATAATGTAATGTACTAATAAACCATTTATCTCTTGTGTGTTCTTAATAATAAGCATTAATGTATATATAGTACTTATCATTACGTGCCTGAAGACGGCGGGGGAAACACCTCAAAACGTTGACTAAAACTTTAACCGTTGATTGTTGTTCTTTTAAGAGGTGTCTATGTGTAATATGAATTCAGTTAAAAATCCTTCTTTTGTATACCTGATCGGGCTAATAAAGACAGAAATGTCATGCAGTGTGCAAAGCAGGAAACATTTCCAGGACAGGGGCATTAGCTTACTCTTTTTGGAATTACAACAGTCAAGGGATCTTTAAAATGCAAAACCTTTAGCACATTGAGCCTCAGGTTATTGACCCACTCAATGACTTTCATGTGAGCACCTCTGACCTGTATCACTGACTGGGAACTGACCTATGGTACCTTGTTCAAAACAACTATGTTTATATTCTTCAATTTTTTTTGTTTTATATATCTTAGATTAAATATATAAGCTTACTATCTGTCATTATGTTGAATTTTTTAACTTATAATTTGAATTTTATTTACAGTGATTTATTAGGCTATGTGACAAGTGGACCAGTATTAGCATTTGAAATAGTTGGAGAAAATGCTATAGAGAACTGGAGAAAAACAATTGGTCCAACTGACCCTGCTATAGCTAGAAGTGAAGCACCTAAAAGTATCAGAGCTCAATATGGCACTGGTATGTATCAATAAATTAAACAGTTCAACTAGATGTAGGGCTGGGTCAATTTGACATCTAATATTAAATTTTATCATTGATATATAATATTATGGCCTATGTTTATTTATAGAAACAATTTTTTAGTAATATTTTATCAAAAATCATTAATATTTTTAATCATTAATATACATGTATTTATCACAGTAGGGATATTTATGATGACATTGAGATTTTGTACAAACTTTCCATTTGAAAATTAAGTAAACAAGTATTTATGTTAGATAAAATTTTATTATCAAGTTATCTAGATTATAATTAGAAAGAAAATCTTATCTTATTTAGAATTTCTTTGTACATGTATGTCAAAATGCACTGACATTAGAGTATTTAAAATGATACAGATATACAAACCTATTTAGTCAAACTGATTGCTTGGTCTCTAACATTTAGGCATCTAGGACACAGTTTGTGCTGCTGGCTTGACCAAATGTAGTTTATATTGTACTGGAGGATGTAGTATAAAAAAATACCCAATTATTTTATCAACCATATTTATTCTTACAGACAAAACAAAGAATGCCTGTCATGGTTCTGATAGTCCAGCCTCATCAGCTAGAGAATTAGAGTTTTTCTTTCCTTCAACTGGTGGTAAAAGACGTAATACAGCTCAGTTGTCTGATAGTACATGTTGTTTAATTAAGCCCCATGCTGTCAGAGCAGGTATAATATCACTGTCATTATCACTTATAATGGCTTATTAAACTTTCCTTCATTGACAGCAGCATGGCATAATACTTTATTTAGTAGGATGTAGAACAGACATAAGACATAACTGTTTCCTTCACTTACTCAGGAATAAGTCAAGTGTTTATGTTGTGACAAAGAAATGAAGAACTTTACCTAAAACATTTGGTCGTGCATTGCATATACAGTCTGTTATTGATGCAGCACAGTGCTTGAACAAGCTGTCAATGATGCGATCCCTGCCAAACATCAAAAGGCAGGCCCTGCCATGACTTATAGTATGACATTGCAGACTCAAAAATCAAGTAAGTTTCAGAAAGTTCTAACAAAAGGTAAATCATTGTTATAGTTTGTATACAGGTAGAACTGAAAGCAAGTTGAATAATATATTTGTTAATATAATTCAATGTTTTGTTATAACAGGTCTGTCTGGTAAGATAATATCAGCTATTTTAGAAGCTGGATTTGAAATATCTGCTATACAGATGGTCAACTTAGAGAAAGCTAATGCAGAAGAATTTTATGAAGTTTATAAAGGTGTAGTACAGGAGTATAATGGGATGGTAGCTGAGTTGACATCTGGTTCTTGTATAGCTTTAGAAATCCGAGCTCAAGATGCCCCCAAAAAATTCAGAGAAATGGCTGGACCTGCTGATCCTGTAAGTGTAATCCTTATCTCTATTCTTATTTTTATACGCCCACACGTAAGATGGGCGTATATTGTAATCACCCCGTCGGTCCGTAGGTCCGTCCGTCCGTCCGTTCACATTTGGCTCGTGCTCACTCTACAGGCTACAGTTCTTTATGGATTCTTTTGATTTTTATTTTGTGTGTCAATGTCATTATGAAGATGATCCCTATCGATTTTCGTGATGATCGGATAAATGATCGAAATATCGTGTCTGACCTGACGTTTTACTCTATTAGCTATATTGTGCAACTCGTGCTCACTCTACAGGCTACAATTCTTTACAGATTCTTTTGATTTTTATTTTGTATGTCAATGTCATTATGAAGATGATCCCTATCGATTTTCGCGATGATCGGATAATATTTCACCGAAATATCGTGTCTGACGTTTCACTCTATTAGCTATATTGTGCAACCCTGTAGTCACTAAAGACTGTTTAATCATTTCTGACAGCTGCCAGTGGGCGTATGTTACCTTGCCTGGCAAGCTATCTTTTTCTTTTTTGAAAGAATGGGGAACTAATTCAACATCTATCCTTGCATATTTGTAATCAATATGAGAGAGTGGTATAGCATGTCTAGAAAAGGTCCTTTACCAAGATAAACCAAGATGAGAATGGTTATGTACCATACAGAAGTAAAACACATTGTGACTAAATCTTGTCTCCCAGTGTTCAACAATATAAGTTTTTGTCAATATTATCAATATAGCTATGGCATAAACATTGCAAGATTGACCCTTTAACCACTTATAAAGATATAATACAATAAACAGTCTAATGTTGTTTAGCAATTTCAATGACTTTTTAAATGATTATAGGAAATAGCAAGACATTTGAGACCTAGAACAATACGAGCTTTATTTGGTGTTGATAAAGTGAGAAATGCTGTTCACTGTACTGATTTACCTGAAGATGGTATTATGGAAGTAAGTATATAGAGATAATTATTGATTTGATACTGTTTATCTTATTTATCTTATTGTATTGTTGTGTTCAATACATGCAGTGAAAATAGTGTAAAAACGGGATTGAACACAATAATCAGTAGAGGTATCGAACACAACACGAGTTGGACTACAGGGATCTGTTAAATATACACTTCTTTGGTATTTCATTGCTCAATATACTGTGAGCCAAAAAAAAAATTGTTATAAGTTTTTAAAAACCCATTTTTGTGTGACATGTTTTAATATTGATATATTTTATTTTTCAGGTTGAATATTTCTTCAAGATATTAGAACAGTAGAATATATATGGCCATGATTTATACAGCATTCATTTTATATATTTTATCATATTTTAACTTATTACTGATTGTACAGAATTCTAATTAAACTGTAAATAAAGCCATTTTTACCTTCAAATTGTTTAAGATGTTTTACTCACAACTAAATATTTTTTGCACAAGTCCTTTCCATCAAGTATGGGCTTTTTATATGGTTTCATTGTTTTCTTTGAAAGTTTTTGGTTATTATTCCTAACAATAAGGTAGTCCAAACTAGTTCTGGATTTAAATTTGAAAGTTTGTTGAACAAAATGTACCCTATGGCTTCTGTGAATACTCTATCAGAGGAAACCATACTGCAATATATCAGAGATATTAGTATATGGCTAGTCAAATAATTTACTCGTAAAGTATTGCATACAGACATTTTCGGTAACATGTTGGGCAACATCCTGATAACACATCAGGTAAAGTGTTACTATTTCTTGCTGGTGTCTGCCGTTTTATGTACATCACTTCAGATAGATTATGGGATTAATAGCCCATTTCTGATTGGCTGAAATTCATTTGCATCTTGGTAACAAAATTGATCTTGTATGTATTCTAGCATCATTTGTCAACATTCTGCCCAATGTTTCTGACTTGTACACACAAACAACTTTTTCACGAACATGGCATCTTCCCAACATGTTACTGAGAATGTCATTATTTCAGTATTTAAGGGCTTCTGATATCAAGTGAGACATCACATCAGCCATTAGCAAGAACAGCAAACTAACTCTCTAAGCACATAATATATATATTACATATAAAGATATTATCTTCAATGATACCTACCAACATGACTTCTGTATACACCTGAAGTTTCATGTAGAAATATAGGAGATGTGTGTTAAAACGCGCTGAACAATCAATAAAGACAAAACTTTATTTCAAAGGTTTACAATGTATATAATACATCTAGTTAAAATACTTATATTATTAACAAATAAATCAGAGGAAAATCAAATTGTAATATACAATACCAACAGATTCAAATTGCATAAATTGATTAATCCATTCACTATTGACTGCCTATATTCTGCAGCCCATCAGTTTTATATGGGCATGTACACCTTGCTGGCATTGTAAGCTTGATTCAACAATTTAATAACAAAATGTACCCAAGGTAAAAGGTAAAAAGCCGTTAGGCATATTTTATAGCAATTTATATCATATTGAAAGATTGTTCCTTCACCAACAATGTTCCACGTTTATCACATCTAACGTGTTAAGGAAAATGATTGAACAATGAATTTAAAACAAGATTTTAACAATCTCTACAATTTGGGGTCTTGAACCATGTAGTACATGGTTTTGTTGCACATTAAGACTAATTATAATAATCAATGTAGGTTATATGATAAACAAAATGTAGGAATATGATCCCTGTAGAAAAACAAAAGCTTGAATATCTATACATCTGAAATAAAGGTGATTAATTTCCTTCTAAACGACTTTTAAAAACACTCCAAAATCAGTTATCCAAGACTTGTAATTGAATACCTGTTCAATGACAAAAATTTATTTGGAAGCAAACATATTATGATACTTATTATACATTACTAGTGAATTGAATTTCAAAATCACAGTGATCATAGAGAACATGTTGGAATTGAGTTATTTAGACAATTTCAATAATTGATTGAGGGAATAAGTAGGCTATCATCAACTATATGACAGTTTGATAAAAGGTTTACTATTCTGAAGACTTTTTCTTGATAAATTTAACGGGACGACTATAGGGCCATTATGTATACACAAACTATACACTCGACATGAATAGTGCTTATTTAAACATAGTAGTACATTCATAATAACAATAGAATTTAAAAAAATATTGGAATATACAATCGAATAATATACTCAATGAAGAAAACCAGAAAACGTCCACACAATTCCTCTGTAGAAAGAAACCATTAAATATCAAATATGTAATTTTCCATGTTGGATTGATCAGACCAAGCTGAATGTGTAGCACCATCCATTTCCGTCGCTACTGCATTTCCATCTAGCAGCCTGTGATTAGTTCCACCTATTTTATCTTTACAAACAGGACATGATGATATTTCTGTAGCTCCACCACACTCAGTAATTACATATGGATGACCTGGAAACATTTGTCAAATTGTAATAGAGAATTTATTTGACAAGAAAATGAAACTAATGTTGCAATTTTGGTATTAATAATGTCTCACAATAAATTGTCACTTGGAAAGGAAGTTCATTAGTAGTCTGCAAAGGGGTCGTTTGCAAGGTAATAAACAAACTTGCGAATCGCTACAAAATTTGGAGCCTGAAGCGATCACTTCCAATTTTCCTGCGTTACGGCAAAATAATCATTGGAAACTTTTACAGTTGAGTAACAAAATACTTACCATTTCTGCATTTATACCAATGTCCCCGAGTTAAACCTACAGCTTTAACAACCATCACTTTTTCTTCTTCAGAGATACCAAGACCGGATGCTGGTGCCAAAAGGTCTATTTTCTTCAATGTTTCTTTAACTTTCTGTAGATCTCTTTCAGTTAACGGATTGCCATCTGAGAATAACGTATAACATTGTTTTATATCCTTTTGTAGTATACCAAGATCAATGTTTCTTTTCTCAACTGTGACAATCAGGTTGAAAAATTTCAGATACAATGACAATCGTTTCATTTCTGCCTGAGCATCATTCAGTTCCTGGTTACTAAACACCATCCTGTCAAGACTTAACCATTCAACAAACTTCTTAAATTCTTTATTAAGAACATCATATTCTTTATATTTAGATGCAGACAAGGGTTGGTGATTTTCTGCAACTTTTTTAAGTTTAACAAGGAGTTTATCTATTTTGGTCAGAACTTCTAGTTGATTTTGAATTGCCAGTAGATGGTTTTCAGTTGATGCTACAGGAATGATCCGTTCCAATTTCAGCCAAGGACTTGACACTGCTGACGTTACTGGTTTCCTCAAAGCCCTTCCTTGTAATTCTCTTCTCAGCTTTTCAATGGCTGTCTTATTTCCAATGTAGGTCTGTTTTACTTGGTCAACGCTTTGTAAAAGACGATTTATGATGGAGCCATATCGAACACATCTTCTGATTGGAGTCTTACATTTAGGACAAGTTTTCATCTGAATTGATATTGTTTCTGAGGAAGATGTACCTTCTTTCATCCAGTTATCGAGACTTTCATATTCAATAACGTGACCACAGTCTTTGAGCTGTACAAATCTAGCATCCGCTTCATCTTCTGTGCCGAAAAATATCTCAGTAACTTTATCCTTGTGGCAGATTCGGCAAAGATTTGGACATGGTTCTCCACAAAGTCCGATACATTCATGACCGCATTTTAATATTTTGTAGCAAGGATGATTACATGGTGGTCGGTCACATGGCTCAAAACATTTTTTACCACAAGTAAAATGCCGGCATTTCCAGGCGCATGGTTCTTTACATGTAATACAAATTTCTCCACATTTTTTCTTGCATTTACTGTGCTCACATCTGTTTTCACATATCCCCTCACATGGTGGACAATACGAACATTTAGATTGACATTTGTGATCACATATAAGATTCTTGGTACATCTTTGTCCACATGATTTGTGAAGTCTGCCGGAAAAGCAATCAGAACAGGTTCCTGTACATGGATGGCCACACTCTAATGCTGCTCCACATGGTTTTTTACAAACAGCGTATTCGCTTTGTACGCATTTTACATTTCCTGTATGACCACACGGCCACTTTTTCTTAACCATAGCTTGACATTGATGGGGAAATCCGCAAAGATTACCACAACGATGACCACAATCTAGTATAGATTCACAAGGATGTGTACATTTGTGTTTCAATACTGATACAGAACATTTGACCATTTCCAAATGTCCACAGACAGGGATTGTCTTTTCAACCTTAGTTTGACAGTCTCCGCATTCTTGGTAACATTTTTTCTTACAGGGATGACCATCTTTGCAAGTTTTGGTGCATGGTTTAGGACACGAATATTCTTCATGGTCTGGATCTGTAGGATGGCATGCCATGCTACAGGAATGTCCACACTGAAGTCGAGCATTACATAGTTTCTGACATCCACCAAGTGGGGCCATTTCAAAGTCTCCTGGTTTAGTAATTTCTATTCCACTATCATTTGGATGGTTTTGACATTGTAGCAACAGATTTTCTCCAAGTTCACCAGCTTTCTTAAGAATTATTGTCATCTCCTTCCATAGAGAACTTTGAGATGCCAAAATTCCAAAATTACCAATAACATACAATCCTTTCCGAGCTCTGGATAATGCTACACAAACCCTGTTCTCAATCTTCAAAAATCCTATATTTTCTTTAATATTACTTCGAACCAATGACAATAATATGATATCATTTTCCTCGCCCTGGAAATTATCTATTGGTGTTATACGTATACCTTCAAATCTGTGTTTTGGCATTACTTTCTTCAATTGATGTATTTGGCCAGAATATGCCGTAAGGACAGTTATTTGTTTTTTGTCGTAGCCTTGTTTCAGCAAATAGTCAGCCAGTTTAGATATAAACTCTGCTTCGTAGGAGTTTGAATGACTTCTCATCTCTTCATTGTGCTGCTCTTCAAATTTGTGATCTATGAAAAAAATATTTTTCGCCAAGCCCTTTACGTTATCAAATGTTCTGACAGAAAAGTGGTCCATCAAGGTAGGGTATATTGGTTTCATCAATTTTGATATTTCGGGTCTCATTCTATGCTGAATTTCCAAGCAATCACAGTGGACCCCATTTTTCAACATTCTTTCAAATAATGATATTTGTAAATTGTATTTGACGGCAAGATTAAATACGTTAGGATTTGGTCTTAATTGTTTATGATCACCAATAAGTATTAACTGTTCACATCCAGCATTTAAACTTGTTATGACGTGACCTTCTAACACTTCTGCGGCTTCTTCGACCACGATAATTCTTGGATTAACTTCTTGCAGAATCTTCTGATATCTAGCAGCACCTGTGGTAGTCATGGCAATAACTGTGGCCTCGGTCATTATAATTTTATCTTTTCGAAGATTAACTTCTTTCATTGTTTCACATTTAGTTTTATACCTTTCTCCCAGCTCTGAAATCGTTTCTCTGAGTTTATTACAATGCTCTGACACCCAGTATCGATACAATCGCCAACGTCTATTGATGTCGATTTCCCAAATATTCGCGATTCTATCAGCTTCTGCTTTGGTCAATTTAGATCTTGAATTTAGTTTTTTGAGTAGGTTTCTCTTAAGCTTTCGTCTTGATTGCCTCGTCAGTTGAAAGCCATCATTCGGTGTTACTTTATCGGCATCAATATTATTGACATCGAAAGCGATAACTTCTCTCCTATGTTTGATACTTTCCACTACAATCTGCTCGAGATTTCTATCAATGCCTGTCTCGTCAACATCTAGTAACCGATTATTAGTCATAATATCACGTTCATCTTCAACTACTATACCCTCTTCATCTTCTTCTGTTGCTGCAATGTCGTCTTCTTCTGCTTGGACCATTTCGTTCGTAATTGTTCCGTTTACTGCGATGCCCAACCATTCAAGCATTAGTGAAGGGGTTTCAGGAGCAAGATACCCCATCTGAAATAGCATTTTTTCGTAAAAGGACGATGATAGCTGTTCTCTGTGAAATGGAGACATTACAGGCCTCAGTTCATCTTCTTTTAGAATATCTCTGGTAGCTGCCTCTATTCTCTGTCCAACATTCTCAATTGGTCTTTGTAATTCTAAAATATCTCTATGATTTTCATAGTTAATTCTACCAAGATCCCTGAAACGTTTTGCGTCTTGGAATTTTCGCCTCCATGCTTGAATGGAATAGTTTTCGATCTTCTTGCAGCTAATACGACTACCAACTCTAACTATCTTCCCATCGTAAAAATTACTAATTCCCTCCAAAAACTGATCTAAGGCATGATTAGTATAACAAACTATTAACATTGGTCGTTTGATCTCGTCATCATAGTTCCATGCATTGGAATTATGGAGTAAAGCTTTCACGATTTTTAAACCAACATACGTCTTTCCTGTTCCAGGTGGTCCTTGTATTACAGAGAATTCTTTTGTTAGAGCTGTCTGTAGGGCGGCGAATTGTGATTCATCCACGTTTAGTAACTCATGGTTAGGCCAGCTCTGTATATTCAACAAGTTAATCTTCTCAGCAGGTTTAGACTTGCCACTGAACTCATAATTTTGTTTCCTTCCTTGTCGTCGTAGGTTGTCGTCATCTCCTCGTAATGTAACCTTTTCATCTACGAGTGGTCTTAAATCAAGAGCTGGACAGTCTAGTAGATATCTGGGGGGATTAACGGACGAGTTAGATTGAACAATGTATCTCTCGAAGGGAACATGTCCTATATCCTGAAGACCTTTAAGAACATGTTTATATGCCTCGTAATATGCTGTTGTTTCAACCATGACGAACTTTTGATCTGGTGTAATAGCATCAATATCATTAAGTTGATGCTCAAACTTGACATCAATATAACCATCGGCTAGTTTTTTAGCATCTCGATCACAAACAGTGGCAATGTAAAAGGTTTTGAACTCATCAGAAGAAAGACAAACAAGTGAACCAAATATTAAACGTTTAGAGATCTGCCAGTTAACCTTTTTCATTTTTGACACATCGAATTGCAGCCGATACAAAAGATCAGTCCGAGTGCATATCGATCTGACAACAGATACATCCGTGTAAACACGAATATCTGAAAATCTATGTCGCCCATTGTTTTCTCCACGAACCATTATCTGGTATTCTTCTATTCCATTACGTAGAGGTTGAATAAAATCTTCCCTTAACAATCTGAATTGTACATCTAGATAATCGCTTGAACTGGCGTAGCCTCCTTTTACTTTGTTTTTCCTTAAAAATGGTTTTGTGCTGGGGTCAATGTCTTCCATTGTTGGTAATACAGAAATGTCACGAAAGTCATCAGGAGGAGCAAGCTCTTCAGGGGAGTCTCTATGTTCATCTGACAATCCTCTATTTTTAATCTTGATTAAACGTTTGTCCTTTAGATCATGAATTTCTTGATATATCTCCATTAGCTCATCATCAATGTCTGTACGAATTCTTAAAGTGTCCATAACTCCTTCAATTAAAATAGTAAGACCTAACAAATTCATATTGACGCATGTAAAAGGAATATTAAGAAAGAGAGCCAAAACTATCTCACAAACATTTTTAAATGTTTTTTGTGATTCCTCTTCATCAGCATCAGTTGTTATTTTCATCAGGAGATCAGGAACGCCAATCGTAAGAAACGGTGAACTGATTAACTTAGTTAGAATGTTGATCTTATTCTGTGGGGCTGTATTACATGTACATCCTTTGGCTATGACAGATACAGTAAGTTTCACCATGTCCACATTTTGACGTGTTAAATTCAATAGTTCATACAAACCACTCCTTTCATGTCCCAATGAAAATAGTATATCTGCTGGATCCTTTCCTTCATAATAACGCATCCTACCAAAATTTAATACATCAGATTTCCTGTCTTGGTTGGTATCGTTGTCATTTCCTTGATTTCTATGAGGTGGTCTAATTCCATCTGCACGTGTTCTTCTTCCCCCTCGTTGAATAGAATTCGTTGGCACTTGAGACTGACTGTCTCGTTCTCTATGTCCTCTATTCAGGGATTGGCTTGACCCTCTACTTCCGCCGCGACCACGTCTCCCAAAGATACCCCCATGGTTCGGCTCTTGTGCTTCGTTGTTTTGTCCTGTTGGCAATCTAGTCAAAGATTGGTTTGCTCCTCGATTACCACCACGACCTCGCCGACGAATATTACCACGCACAGCTGAATCAAGATCTCTTTGTTGGATTTGACCTTGGTTTCTGGTTTGAGTTGGTATTCTGTCATTTACTGAATTTTGATCAGTTCCTTTATCACAATCATTATCGTCGCCAAGGCTTAAACGATTCAGTAGCCGAGATATCATTTTAGTAGATACCTGGAATAAAAAAAAATCCAAAATATATAACATACTAAGATATTCTCCGAAGGTTTTGTTAAAGGTGGCTATCACACATAATTTAGATGACGAAACACGTATTGTCGTAGTCCAAAGCCTGTAGAATCCTAGGAATAATTTACGATTATCGACTAATTTTAGATAAGAAACATCAGGCAATGTTTTATGAGATATAACGGTCAAAATACCTATCATAGCTAGGCAAGTTTTCCTGTCTGTCCGTCGCTCGTCAATAATTGCTCGTTAACACTCTTGGCCATTCCTGAATTAATTAGACGAAAATTGATGTGTCTTAGTTAAGGATGAAATAAATAATATTTTAATTAACTTTTTTAAAACGAATTATATTTGACCAAATAGTAAATAGCATATTTTAGAAATATTTTCAGGTATAATTTACGACGTTTTATATAATAAAAGGTGTGTTCACTGACCCTTTAATTGTGACGGATACTCATATATAAAAAACTTGTGAAATATTTACTGTACCGGAATTATTTTTTTTTTTGTATGAGTGTATGACTGAAGGTTAAAAGATAGCTTGCCAGGCAAGGTAAGATACGCCCACTGGCGTAAAGGTAAATAAAAGGTAAATAAAAAATATTTGGCAATACAGTAACAGTTACCAGTATGAAATATTCAACCTTCAGTTAAACACTTCTTTTGAACTTTTTTGTGGCGATACTGAATAATATTACCAAATTTTGTCAAAATCTTGAGCGCGTTTATAAGAACAAGGGCAATAACTCATACTAAATATTTTTCGGTTCTTTTGATAGGATTCATCCTTGGTTGATAACAAACACTCGTCAAAATCCAGCAATAATTGAACCTTCTAAAGAGTTAACGAGCTAAAAATTGAACGCGTTTTAAAGGCAATAACTCATACTATATATTTTTCAATTTTTCTGATTTTCAATAGGGTTCATCCGTGGGTGATAACTAACATTCATACCAAGTTCTATATCTGTCAAGAATTGAACCTTCTATAGAGTGTTTACAAGCTAAAAATTGAACGCATTTTCAAGAACAAGGACAATAACTCATACCAATTATTTTACGATTTTTCTGATTCTCGATAGAGATCATCCTTGGGTAATAACAAACGAACGAACGGACGGAAATGGGTGATGGCCATACACGCCCCTATTTCATGCGGTCGTATAAAAATTCATACTAGCGATGGAAGTAAAGTCTGCCACTGGGCGTATGAAACTCTTTTGTAATCTATCTTGAAACAATAAACATGACTAAAAGACTGATTTTCTTGTATTGTGTAGACGGTCTCATAATAATTATGTACACGTCATGCATATCAACGACCGAGAAAAGGATATTTGCACGAATACTCATATTAATGTAAAGCTAAATAATGAATGTGTTCTTACCTGATTGTTTATGTGATCTATAGGTCTACCATGTTATAACATTCAATTGTCAGTAAACATAACGACAGTTACCTAATATCCACATTATATATACGTTATAAAAAAAAACATTTCTTGGAAATTTTAATTTAAGGTTTAAGCCGAATAGTCTCGACCAAACAGACCATACATCAACGTTGTGTTAATGTTATCTACTTTCGTTTTCCATTCAAAATACGAATACATTTCTAGGAAATTCCTTTCTGACGCGTGATTAGTAATAGTTTATATTTAGAATTGTATTTTTCATGGCGTCATTTAGATAAAGGCAAAGGTATATCATAATCTACAATGATGATGGGTTATTGATCCTTGATCCAAATAGACTGTAACGTTAGAGCCAGTTACTTCTTCCCAATGTTTGAGTATGCATCATAAACAAGTAATGTAGGCCTATGGTTGCACTAAAAAATACTAGTGTAGAATATATTATATTGCATATGTCATGCACATAAAGCTACCCCTGATATTCAACAGAAATGTAAATATAGGCCTATTATAATCATTTTAATTTCAGAAAATATTCCTTCATAACAGCCCTTAGTAATTTGACCTTATTTCTCTTTAAAATGATCTAAGTAAAAACGGTGTATGAGGTGGCTATTTCAAGTTTACAATGTGAAGCCCGTATTGGGTGTTGTAGGAACACCAATAAGACCTGTGACAGCCTGGTATGTCATTGATATGATACTAATATCAACTCTAGGCCTATTGTGTATTATAAATTAGAATGACGTTATGTCAACAATATTTAATTTCTGACCATCTGAATTTTGTTCCCGCCATATAATAGTGTCATAAAAGGACACTGTCAAACGCACTGTGCTCATAGATTACGCACCGAAAGTTGTTTTCTGTATTAGATATATACTTTTCTGTAGTATCTTGTATGTCGAGACAGTATGTTTTGCATACAATATTCTCGTCTAGGCAGTTGAATTTCGAAATTAAGAGTAACTATCTGAAAATTTCTAAGTAAACTAGTTAGCCTAGTGATCTTTAAAACCATATATGCGATTACTATGTACATAGGATCTATCTGGAATGGCTACTTTACACATTCCAAGAAACGATTACATTGCGGCTTGTGATACCAAAATTAGAAATTTGTCTATGTGAATAAATTATGTTAGTTCTTGGAAGTATAATTTACTTGATTCTGTTAAAGCGTGCATAACGACAATGTGTAGATCAGTTATTAACTATAGCTAGATATAGGAGAGAACACATCATCCTATGATTGTCTTTTAAAGTTTGCAGTAACTGTGAATTAAGTAAGTGTTTTTTTTTTTGTACCATGCGTTCATAATTGAAATACGCGTAACCGTCAGCCAAGCATCAAAATACGTCAATGACACGATTTTCTAAGCATTTTACCCAATATTTTACGTATTTTGACTAAAGCTTTACTTCGATACAACTAGCCTTCTGTCAAAGTGGTAATAGGCATACTTGGCACTATGTTCTATATTTGAATAGGGACAAGACTGAGCCCACTATACACACATACGTGTAGATGCCAACTCGCATGATAAACTGAGACCTGGACAGTTACCTCAAATCCCAAAAGCTACAGGCAATGCCGTTGGGCTATCTTATTGGCAACCATTAAATTCCGTGATAGATTTGATATCTGACATAAGAAAATACATGGAATGAAATCGTCCATGATATTACAAGGAATAACACTACATGACCAAAATTTAATAAAAAAAAAATTAGATGAAAAAATAGAATGCAAAATAAATGCCAAGATGGTTGTTATTTGATCAAACTTAATACATAAAACAAAAGTAAAAGTAGAATATTGATCATCGAAATGAAAGTAAAAATAGAATATCAACAAGATAATTCTTAGTAGGCAGTTGATAGTTACCACGCGTGACAAATAGACTAAGTAAATAAATATATAGACTTTGATCAAGGTTTATAGGCTAGTATTGAAATAATATTCTTACATTAAACTGGTTTATATGCCAATCGCTATGATTGAAACATTATGCATGTATGACAATTGATCTTGTGATTGTGAGGACTGTAGGCCTACTCTGTATATTGAAAAGGCGATATCATAAATTTCAGAAAATGGAGAATTGGGATGATGAAGATCCAGACGATTATAGGACTGGCAGGTTTGTCATTTTACTTGATTTGATAAGGTTTTGCTTAAAGGTGGTATTAAATATAGATAAATTCCAGATTAAGTTTTTGCTAATAATTTCTAATACGTCTTTGAAGGATTACTCGTAGAATACCCTGAAAAGACACTGTTATGTACAACGCAATTGGAATATAATTACTGCCCCTGAAATCTTAGTATGTAAGTTATTTCACTATCTGTAGGTACCATTTCGACCACGTTAAGCGAAATAGACAAATTATCAAAGATAGGGATTAAGTCAGAAATAACAAATTGTTATCACAGACGACAGAGATTTTTGAATCACTCTATTTTTACCGAACACATATTTGTACTGTTTGCCGATATTCAAAAAAAACTTATTTTGAAAGTTTCAGCTAAAAATATAGGGTTATCATATTAAGGCCACTGCGTAATTTAAATCAGCTACTTTTAAAACAAATTCATATTGATCAAGTTGATACATAGATATAAAGAGCTTATATTTTAGAAATCTTTTCACGTACAGTCAAGGAACATAATTTCGTGGAAATCTATTATTCGTGGATTTCCGGAAATGTTTAATAATGTACATGGGCGACCTTGCGCGACCTAAAATATAATAATGTATACTTTGACAAATACAAAATGGCGGATTTCAGTTATTACCAAACGTCACCATTTTTTATCGGCCGAATTTCCTTATAATCCCAAGCGGTAATCAGAATTCCAAGTGTCGTCTGCTAGAATGTAGTCCAACGAATGAAGTCACGTGATCAACTAGCGGATTCTGTGTCAGCAGAAAATTTCTATGGAACACAAAGTGGACCATATTCTTATGTTGTTTCAGTGACTTTTAGCAATAAATCACGCTACGTATCTTATTTTCTCAGTCACTATTTTTTTTTAAATCGTGATTCTTTGAAGGAATTGTCAATAGTTATAATGAATTGATATTAAAGATAAATACTAAGAGACGTTAATTATACCACCCGGTATCCATACAACGTGTTTTTCTAGACTTATTTATAGATCAAACATTGTACACGAATATAGGTGACGCATTCTGCCGCCGTTGCCGAGTTGGTTGCTCATGAAATACGGGTCAAAGTGAAGGATTCATAAAGAAAATCGAAATAAACCAATTTTAATTATTTGGTAGAATATCTGAGGAAACCTCTAAGACATAAAAAATGTGTTCCTTTTTTTTAACTTTGACGAAATTCGGTGTTGAATCCTTATATCCACGAAAATAGATTACACCACTGTGTATATTTTGTTTACTGCTGTGAAAACGTAGGTCCTACCCATATCGTGTTATTATTCAAATGCGTTTGTATACAACTTATGAAGAGGGATAGAAACTTCACAAAACGTTAATTACTAGAGTAACGAGTGACTTCTCTTTTTTGAACAAATGCATTTAAAATGATACAATCTTAATTGTTGGATATATTTTTCAGGAACAAGCAGAGAAAACCTAGAAAAGAGACAAAAATTACCAAAGAAAAACTTCTGCTGTACATAGATTATTCGTCGAAAGATGCCCTTTTATCACTAACACGTTCAAATGGAGGTTTACGATCTTTCCTTGGGATACCTCAAACAGACGAAATGTTACAACTTGCAGTGCGATGTTTTAGTCATGCATGTAATGGTGATCTGTTAAGTACAGAAATTAACTTTTTGTTAAGCTGTTTACTGGAATACTCATTTATATATGATTTAATTCGACTGGAATCTTTTACACAACAATTAGTTGATGATTGTGCTAATATTGTTTTGAAACTTTTACGAAAATTTCCCCAAGAATGTGTTGTGAAGGTGCGACCTTTAGCTAGAGTTTTAACGGAAAAGACAGAAACAGCCAGATATTTAGACACAAATACAGTGGAGAATATCAAAACTATTAATAATCTGATCGATGAACATACAGCCACTAAAACAGAAGACGCTTCATCATCTAGACCAAGACCTCACAATGACGATGATCTGCCCCCGGAGGACTTTCGTGAATTGACAACCATACCCTTAGAGAGTGATTTAGACATTAATAAGCAACCATTCCTCAGAAAAAATAGACTCCAAGGCCGATATGACAATTGCGACCAGTATCTGGATGTCCAATTCCGCCTTCTTCGTGAAGATTTGTTTGTACCTTTAAGAGAAAGTATCAGTGAATATCAAAGTCACTGTGGAAACACATCTAAAACTATATCATCTATACAGGTGTATTTCAATGTTAAATTGATCCGACCCATCTGTACAAACAATGGTTTGGGTTACACGGTGTCTTTTGATGCTAAGAGGGCAAATAATATTAAATGGGAAAGCAGTAAAAGACTAATGTATGGTTCTTTATTATGTCTGTCGAAGGATAATTTTCAAAATTGTGTTTATGCTACGGTGGTGAATAGAGATAAAAAGGACATTTCTAATGGATTGCTCGGTATCAGGTTTGAGTTTCTGGATATTGAAGAATTGAATACATTTGTACTAGAAAATCGCAGTCATCGCTTCTGTATGGTTGAATCACCGTCTTACTATGAACCATACAAACACGTTCTTCAAGGCATGCAGCATATGAATGAAGCCAATTTTCCTTTCTATAATTATGTAGTTGAATGTGACACAAACATTCAACGTCCAGCTTATTTGAAAAGAAATTCTGGTGCTCTGTATGATTTAAGACCGGTTGTGGATCCAAACTTTAAGATTAAACCTGGTACAGAGATTAACTTTGATTCAGAATTTAGTAGCTTAGAATATATTGACATTCAAGACGATAAATGCTGGCCAAATCCTGAGAAACTTAAATTAGATCCTTCACAGGCTATAGCTCTCCGACAAGCTCTAAATAGAGAATTTGCCATAATACAAGGACCTCCTGGAACGGGAAAGACACATGTTGGTCTGAGTATTCTGAAAGTTCTTCTTCATAACAAATCGATTTGGTGTCCTGACGACAATAATACACCGATTGTAATTATTTGTTATACCAACCATGCCTTAGATCAATTTCTTCTCGGGGCCCTGGACTTTTTTGATGGTAATCTGGTTCGAGTTGGATCTCGATCACAAGACGACAGAATTAAAGATTATGCTATAACAAATCACAGAACTCGATCAAGAGAAGGAAAAAAGGTTTCCCAAGCTGTTCACAATTCTCGAGTTGGTTTGAAAGACGATATGGATCTTCTGAAAACCGAAATTGAAGAAAGTGCGGTCAAACTACAAATAGCTCAACGAGATATTCTGCATGAGGATTTTCTGAAAGATGAGGCTATTATTACAGATGAAATATATGTCCAATTAAAAGACGGAAAGAAAACATCCATTTTGTTAAAGTGGTTGGGAATCCAACAGAAGATAAATGAGATCGAGCGGAAATATCATATTGACGCCTACAATATAGGTAATACCACTGATAATGTCGAATATGATCATGATGACTATGATGAAGATTTACCAGATGTATGGACTCAAGTAGTTGAACGTGAAATAGACGACGATGATGATGATACATTACCGGAACTAAACCAACTGACACGTTCCATTATATCAAAAGCGCAGTTGCTGGACGTTTCATCTTTGGACGACATTTCAGTTGATTTTGGAACCGCGGAGGAAAGAAAACTTAAAGTAGATAAACGAAGCGAATTAAGAAAATTGAAAAGACAGCTTAGATTAAACATTTCTTCGGATGATTGTATGAATAGAATGGAGTCTCTCAACATTCACAATATTTGGAAGCAGAAATATCTGCAGAGATGGCGATTATACAGATATTGGCTGAATCTGTTTGTTGAGAAATTGTCCGGCAATATAATAAATAGAGAAATTGCTTATGAAAATATTGCAACACGTTATAAAACGGTGTTGTTGGCAGAAGATAGGGACATAATAAAAGAGGCTGGACTTGTCGGATTAACAACAACAGCAGCAGCTAAATACCATTCAGTTTTAGCTGATATTGGTCCAAAAATTATCATCTTTGAGGAGGCAGCTGAAGTTTTAGAGGGGCATATCGTGGTTAACCTTAGCCGTCATTGTGAACATGCCATTTTCATTGGTGACCACAAACAGCTCCAGCCCAACCCAACTGTTTATAAACTAGCCAAACAGTACAATCTAGATATATCACTTTTCGAAAGGCTAATAAACAACAAGATTCCATTCGACACACTAAACAAACAGCATCGAATGCGGCCTGAAATAGCCGATATTGTTCGAATTGTGTACCCAGCTCTTGAGGATCACGATGTAGTGAAACATTATGAAGATATAAAGGGAGTTGAGAACAATTTAGCGTTTATCAACCACAGCTCTCCCGACGAAACCGACGAAGACACCAAAAGCAGAGCTAATAAATACGAAGCTGATTTTATCAAATCCTTGTGTGATTATTTTCTTAAGAAAGGTTACAGACAAGATCAAATAACAATATTGACAACTTACTCTGGACAACTCGCCTACTTTACTGATATATTACCTAAAACTAAATATTCCAAATTACGAGTAGCCACAGTAGACAGTTACCAAGGACAGGAAAATGACATCATCCTACTTTCTTTAGTGCGAAGCAGTGATGAAGAAAAGATTGGTTTCCTCGCAAAAGAAAACCGTATTTGTGTGGCATTTTCTAGAGCTAAAATGGGGTTTTTCGTCATAGGAAATTTTGAGCATCTCCAAACACACAGTACTCTTATTAAAAATATGGTAATGAAAGCTTCTCAAAAAAAGGTTTTACATGACGGGTTGAAGATTTATTGTTTGAAACATCACGACACTCGATATGTTTCCTTACCATCAGACTTCAGAGAATGTTTGGAAACCTGTGGAGAAAGACTGAAATGTGGTCACGCTTGCTTGTTACCCTGTCATTCTAAAGATGAACATGATGATTATAAATGTGCTGAACAATGTAGTAGAAAATGCAATGCAGGACATCCTTGTAACAAGAAATGTTTTGAAAAATGTTCACCATGTACGTACCAAGTAATGGCGATATTGCCTTCTTGCGGACATGAACAGATGATTGCTTGTTCTGAAGAACCATGGATGGTTCAGTGTAGGAACAATATCAAGAAAACCTTACCATGTGGGCACGAGGGAGAAGGTGTATGTTCACCTAATCTGACCAGCTATTGCAACCAGACTACAAAAGTAACCAGATCTAAATGTGGTCACACATCAGAAGTTCCATGTCATGAAAAAGACTCAGACCTGTGTAATTTTGAATGCGAGAAGATACTTGATTGTGACCATGAATGTTCTGGAACCTGTACACAGTGTTACAAAGGAAGACTCCACGTATCATGTCAGAAACCTTGTGGCCGAGAACTGCTTTGTGGGCATATCTGCAAAGATTCGTGCACATTCTGCCCACCATGTGATGATGTATGTATTAATAAATGCCAGCATAACCGATGTATTAATAAATGTGGTGAAGAATGTATACCGTGCAAAATGCAATGTACCTGGCAGTGTAAGCACATGAAGTGTACTAAACGTTGCAGCGAGATGTGCGATAGGGAGAGATGTAACAAACCGTGTAAGAAGTTGCTACCCTGCGACCATTTTTGTATAGGTTTATGTGGTGAAACTTGTCCCAACCTATGTCGATTATGTAACAGAGAGGATCTTGAAAAATTGAATATTTGGGGTTCTGAAGATATTTCAAACAGTGGATATATTATGCTTGAAGATTGTAAACATACCTTAGAAGTGACTGGCCTTGATAAGTATATGGACATTTCAGATGACAACAGTGATAAACAGATAGCTTTTAAAAGATGTCCTTTTTGCAAGACACACATCATCTCAACACCAAGATACGGCAATCTTATTAAAACTGTCTTCAACAGCATTTATGCCATAAAAAACAAAATCATGGGAAATTCTGAGAATATATTCAAGTTACAACAGCTTATTGAAGACAAAAAAAGGAATGTCAACCTAAAAGTGTTCATCTCGAGCATATTTGATACCAAAAATTTTGTGCAATCAGAGAATCACTTGAAAGCTATCCTTAACCAAATATATATCTATGAAAAAATACTTTTCATGCGAAATCAGTTAAACAGAACTAAAGCTCAACTGCAGCTGCATGACGATTATTTCGGAAGAGAAGTTCAGTTATTGATTGATCTAGAAAGATGGACTTCGGTAAAAAGAAAAATATTTTCTACTCAAGAAACAAAAGACGCTAAATTGGAAATTAAAAGGCTATGGCGACTGGTTCAGCTTTGTGTAGGTCGTGAACGAGCTAATGGTAACAGTGATGTACCACCTACTGTCATTGTACGTCTTGCAACAACAATTCGTGAAATTCATAATGGTCGGAGTATACCAGAAGAAGATGTCACAGAACTATTGGAAATTGTAGAAGAATATATTCCTAGAACAACACTGGGTATTACTGATAACGAGAGATTAGAGATTTTACATGCTATCGGTGGGCGGAAAGGAGAATGGTATCAATGCGCAAATGGTGAGTCGTACAAATGTTGTGATCTTATCATTCTTATTTCTCATTATATAATCAAAGGATATATTTGAACCCCATAACGAAATTGTGACCCAATTGTCTTCAGGATGAAAATTGGAACGCCTGAATATAAATATACATTGTCCTGTATGTACCAAAAATCAAATAAAATTTAAATGAGTAGATTTCAGCTTGACAATGAATTCAGTAAATGTATGATAATTCTATGTGGTGCATACATAATGTTAATTAATGTTAAGTGAATGTTCTTCGGGCAGAATATAATTGAATATGATTATAAAAACATTAGTCTCAAGCTTATAATTGAATTCTCCATTGAATTTTCAATCTCTGTAATATGTGTTTCAGGTCATTATTATTCAGTTGGAGACTGTAGCAGACCACTGGAGAAATCAATTTGTCCTGAATGCAGTCATGAAATTGGTGGATTAAATCACGCACTAGTAGGTGGTAACATTCCAGCTCCAGAATTTGATGATGCTGAAGGCCCAGTTCATACCGAAGAAAGTGACTACCTGTTAGCCTTAGAATTACAGTTTGGATAAAAATCAAGTTATTGTGGGACTTTGCTTTCAGCAAAGTCCCAGTTTGTTATCGAAATGTCAATTCTTTTTTTTTTTTTTTTTTTTTTTTTTTTTTCGATTTTTACACACCTTCCTCAGCTTAGACTACAATAGTTGCAGCAACCATTCAACATTCACGAACCTTAGATATAGGCGACGATGTGCATAAATATATTTTGGATCTTTTTTGCAAAACCGGAAGTGCCACAGTTCAATATGTGCAAGAATAGATAATCGGCTCTAGAAGTCGTATTTTTCGGTCGATTTTCTTTGGGTTTGCATTTTTGGAATCTACTGTTAAAATTTGAAAGAATAGCAGTTTCAAAATTTCAAAATTCGAAAATTTGTCGCAGACATTTTTTGGCCGATTTTCGAAATTTTTGGACCATTTTTCAGTTTTTTTCGGATTGATCTGAAATTTTGATAAAAGATGCATGTCACTAATGTAAACCATTTGACGTATTCAAAATGTTTGCGTCACTTCCGGTTAAAGTGGAAAATCGATTTTCACTTCCGGTTGAATAACTTCCGGTGTGATTGAAATATTTCAACGAAATTATGTATATCGTTATTAATCTTAATTCTATGGCCGATTTTAAAATAAAATTTAGTCCGAAAAAAATACTTCGGCCGCCATCTTGATTTGATACTTTTTCATAAAACTCAAAATGGGGCTTCGGGGGAGAATGGGATTGGTCAAATTTTTATGTTGGTGTATACTTTAGTCGATGGCGACAAAAATGTTGGAAATGGATTTTTGAATTTGACTTTTGCTTTTTTGCAACTTCCGGTCGAATTTTTTCACTTTTTGAAGGCTTGTATCTCGTGACCTTGACCTTTGATGACCTTGACCTTTTTAGGGTCAAAGGTCATTGACCTTGACTATCATTTGATACTTTGACCTTTGACCCCAGACATGTACTTCCGGTTTTATAGCTATCCGTAAAAAGCCAAATTCGCAACTTTGGACTGCTCTAACACGTGACCTAATTAACCTAGA